GTGCAACTTGACTTGACCAACTAACTAGGACGTGATGTGTCACATCAGAGAGAACAATGCCTCTGCAAATACGGTTGCTTTGAAAAGCGATCTAAAGGTGATTAAAGGCCTTTACACGCTGGTTTAGAATCCAGGGCTTCCTGACTTCCCCTACTCTTCACACACATGGTGAGAGGAATTCCCTAGATCACACAAATTGATCAGATTGCTGAAGTCAACTTCCACCCACACTCCTATCTGGAAAACAGGACCAAAGCCAGGAACCACCTCCCCCACCTCCCCCCCATGGATTTCAACTGTGAGTGAACATGTGTTTCTTGGGTCATTCAAACTTCAGGAATTATTGTGGAAGTTCATTTCTGTCCTCATTATTTTATTTATTTATTTATTTTGAGGATTTTTTTTGAGACAGGGTTTCTCTATGTAGCCCGGAAGGTCCTGGAACTCTCTCTGTAGACTAAGCTGTCCTTGAACTCAGAGATCAGCCTGCCTCTGCCTCCTGAGTACTGGGATTAAAGGCATGCACCACCACAGCTATTCCTGTTTTCATGTTAATACATCTATATGTTTTTGCTATTTAATCGTCCCTGAGCTCAGAGGGGAGATGTGCAGGGAGAATAATACATTTAGACCCACAGCACGCAGATTATGCAGTTGGGGGTTAGATACCTCAGTTGGGGGTTGCTGCTTTACAACCTAGCTTGTCCTTGGGGGCTGGAGAGATAGATGGCTCAAGAGTCCTTACTGCTCCTGCAGAGGACCTGACTTCAGTTCTTAGTCCCCATGTTGGAGTCTAAGGGGCTCATGAGTCCTTGTAACTCCAGATCTAGGAAATTAGTCTAACTAGATTAGAAAAGGCTGGCCCTCTAGAGTACACACACACACACACACACACACACACACACACACACACACACACACACACTGAAAAATAAGAAACAAATCTTCAGCAGGACATGGTGCACACACTTTTAGTTCCAGCACTCAGGAGGCAGAGGCAGGCAGGTCTCTGTGAGTTCAAGGCTAACTTGGTCTATATAGTGAGTTCCAAGCTAGACCCTGTTTTAAAAGAAGGACAGAGTCAGAGAAAGACAGGAAGAGAAGATGGACCTGGGGGATGGCTCAGTGGTCAAGAGCACTTGCTGCTCTCATGGAAAATCCGGGTTGATTCTCTGCACCCACAGGGTGATCACATCCATCTGTATCTGCTCTCCAGGGATGCAGCACTTCCTCCTCTCCTTGTGGGCACTGAGCCCTTAGTCACTGCATTGCCTTTCCAGACCTTCCCTCAGTGTATTCTGACGCAGACTGAGCCCCACTCACGAGAGCCACCAAAGCTGCAAGCTAAAGGGCAAAGAAGATTCTGCGCTAAGTCAAATCATTTCCCTCTAACTCAGCACTTCTCCTAGGACTTTGCCCCACAGACATCCTGGCTTAAGCAAAACGGTGCAGGTGAAAGGTCAGCCAGTGCAATGAGATGTCTATAACCAAAGAGCAGAAGCAACGAGATGTCTATAACCAAAGAGCAGAAGCAACGAGATGTCTATAACCAAAGAGCAACGAGACGTCGGAAACGAGGCAGGAAGTTAAACTCCGGGGTGGAGGGGACTTGTAGAGGGGGATTAAGTGTGTGGTTGTGGACACTCAGAGAATGAGAGGGACAGAGAACTCCAAACACTAAACAGATTTTAACCATTTATGAACAAAGGGGTTAGGGATGAATGAATGTACATGGCCCGCCAGCATACCCGGCAAGACAGGACCCCTAGTTCTAGAGAAAATGGCTTCCCTACTCTCTACAGAGTCCTGTCACATCTCTCCCTTCAGTCCCAGAAGCCCCACCTTGCTCCAAGCCCTCGGCCATGGTCCATTCACCCACTGTCCTCAGCCTTCTCTCCTTGGCCTTTGGAAGTCCTCTTTGCTCCTGAGGGCCTGGGGACTCTCATCCTGGGGTCCCCGGATGACCAACGACTAGGAAACTCATCCTACCCCAGGCATGGCTGCAATTACAGTCTCTAGATAGACCTGAGGGTTTCAATACTAGCTTTGTTGTATGTGAGACCAGAAAGCCTTCAATGGGGTCTAACCTCAAACCTTCCGGGGCTATGAAGTGTGAAACAATAGGCGTTTGGGCAGGCAAGATGGCTCAGTGGGCAAAGGTACCTGCTCCTTAAGCCTGATGGACACGAATTCCATTTCTGAGACTCGTGAGGAGGGTATGGACTTTGTGCTCTGTCTTCCTCGCCCCCCCCCTTTAGTGGAGATGTACCCAGAGAGGGCATGTGATGGGCTCATGGTAGCACAACTGACGCATTGCAGAGTTCACGAATGTTCGACCTTGTTGGGGATGGCACAGGTGCCACCTGCTCATCCTTTCTCTTACCTTGAGCACCTTGAAGACCTTTCCTGATAGTTTCCGGTTGAGAGCCTGGCTCCTGAGGCCTGTTGACTTCTGTCAGAGGCTTGAGGGAGGCTGGTTCTTGAGACTGAATACCTTGTTCCTAGGATCTGGGACAACTGGATGATACCAAATGGTCCTGAGCACAATGAATTCTGAGGGCAGGGGGTCTGTCTGTGCTTCTGGAACATGGAGTCCTTGCCTCACCCAATGGCCTACACTGAGCTGTGGGAGGTGGTGTCCCGGTGCTGTTTTCCTGTTGCCTGGGCAGGGGACAGGAGCTGCATTGTAGGACACTGAAGGAAGCACCCAGGGTTACTCCTTCATCCCAGCCCCGTGCCACAGATAAGAGATGCTTGAATCTAGGCCCAGTGCTGGGCGACTGGTTGGCCTTGGGAGGGAGCACACTGGAACCTGTTTCCTCAGCCACTGACAAATATGATGACAGAACATGCCACAGATCAACAGAATAGGTAGGGGACTCCTATGGGGCTGACAGGCAATGAGGGTCCATGGCTGACAACTGTCCCTACTGAATCACTGGGCTCTCAGACATCCGTAGTGGAGTATCACGGCTAAATGATTTCCCTCTTGCAAGCGAACCTCCTGGGCCATTTTCCAGAGCCCGGGCCAGACACATCTACAGCTGCTTGAGCTGGAACACATCTTTCCCGGCTCAAGGCCTCAACTTTTATATCCATAAAATAGTGGCTGTCGCATTCACCTCAAAGGAATGCTCAAAGTTTAGACAAGATCATGGAAAAGGCCCTTGTGGCCCCTCTGAGCTCACTTCCCCCATCTGCAAAGTGGGTTAAACACAGTACCTGTTTCATAGGATTGTTGAATCAAGAGAGGTCCTCACAGCAACTGTTTGGCTTGATGCTTGCCAAGAGCCAAACACATGACGTGTAAGCTGTGGGGATGTGGTGTATGTGGGGGAGGGATGTGGTGTTATGTGGGGGAGGGATGTGGTGTATGTGGGGGATGTGGTGTATGTGGGGGAGGGATGTGGTGTTATGTGGGGGATGTGGTGTATGCCTGCAGGCCCGGCACGTGGGAGATGGAGCCAGGGGAAGCAGGCGTTTAAGGCCAGCCTTTGCTACACAGTTCCAGACAGAAGCTGTCTTTAAAAACACGCAAATGGGGAACTGGAGAGATGGTTCAGCAGTTAAGAGCACTGACTGCTCTTCCAGAGGACCCAGGTTCAATTCCCAGCACCACAGGGCAGCTACCAACTGCCCTGAAACTCCAAGATCTGAACACTCTCACACAAAACACACATGCAGGACACGAGCAGGCAAAACACGACTGCAAATTTTAGAAAAGCATACAAATGAACAACAGCAACAACAAGCCTAACAACAAAACCCAAAACAAAACCTAACAAAGAAAGAAAGCAAGCTGAGCTTGGCCGCCTTCCTTCCCAAAATGGAAGACGAATCCAAGCCATCTTCCAGGTCTTTAGTGTTTTCTCTGGGTAGCCCTGGCTGTCCTGGAACTCTCTGTGTAGACCAGGCTGACATCGAAGTCTCCCACCTCGGCCTCTCGGGTACTGGGACTAAAGGCTGGCACCACAATGCCTGGCAGGTCTTTAGTCTTTATTCATCCTATTGAGACAGGGTTGCCTTCATCAATCACAGCCCTGTGCCTTGAACTCCTGGGCTCAAACAATCCTGCCTTAGCCTCTAGAGTCGCTGGGATGGCAGACCTAGTACCTTGCCCCATGGATTTGGGGGAATTTGGGGGCTTGTCTGAACTTGTTGGAGGAGGGGCCAGTTTCACACTATTCCATTAAGATTATATGCTTCACCACAGCACAGAGTGAAATACACACTTTGCAGTTTTCAAAGACCTCAAAGCCCACCGTTTGACCTAATCCTAACAGCCTTGCTAGGTGGTACTACTCTCTCCCTAACTGAGGCCCAGAGAGCAAGAAGCTTTGTCCAAAGTCACATGGAGAGCTGGGATAGCACTGAGCTCCAACCCTGCTAATGTGCCAGTGCCCCAGACTCAAGAGCTACTAAGAGCAGAGCCCTAGCCTCCTCACTAAGTCAGGCCCTATGCACTCAAGACCCAGTCTGGGTCTCCTTTTTTGTTAGGTAAGGGTCTCTACACGTCACAGGCATGGGAACTGTGAGCCGGTATTTACTGAAGGAAAGCCTACCCTGCCTTAAAAAAACGTGCAGGGATGTGACCACACCTGGACAGAGCTGTGACAATAGGGAGTGGCTGTTTTGACAACAGAGATCTAGACATACCAGGCCAGGGGAATTGTCCGAGGTCATCGGATGAGATCTTGAGATGCCAGAGAGCCCAGCTTGGGGAGCAACTCACCCGGTAGGTCCGGACTACAGTAGCTCAGTGAGGGAGTGAATGAAGTATGTTGAGCTCAGAGCTCTCTTGCTGGGACACTCATTCCACTCTCTTGCAACTATCACCGGATTGAAGCCGGCACTCTGGTGAAGTGGACAAACTCAGCAGGAGTTTGCAGCCCCATTGCCCAGCCTAGGATCTCTGGGCCTCCTATTTCAGACTGTACTGTGACCCCAGGAAGTCCCGGGATGCAACCGCGAGTGACTCCTCCTGCAGCCCAAGCTTGCATAACTCTAGGCTAGACACTGCAGGCTGGCGGAGGCGGCTGAGTCCCTGGTGCCCAGCGCCGCCCTCCGCGCTTGGGGCGTGGCCGCCACCCCTTTATCTGCTCCTCCAACGCGGGGACGCAGCAGACAGCTCTCAGCTTTGCCCTGGCCACAGGTGAGGCTGCGCCTGGAGATCCCGGGGGCTGGGCTGGGAGTAGAGAGGTCCTTCGGCGGGCGCGGGGGTTGGGGGTGTGCTCCTAGCTTTGCACGTGCGCAGTGCCCAGTGGCGGAAGTGGGCAGGTGGCGGAAGAGGGGGCGAGGCCGAGAACAGCAGGACCCTGACAGTAGGGGTCGGGAGAGGCCACCAGGGGAATCAGCAGCAAGATTGGGACAGAAAGAAGCAGAGCCCGAGGTCACCCCTGGGAGCGTGAGAGGAACAGTGGCGAGGGGGCGGAGAGCAGAAGGATTATGAGGGGACCAAAGGCAGGAGAGCCAGGACCGGAGCGTAGCGGATGAGCCAGCTGGTGGGATGGAGGGACTACTTCAATACAGTCTGCAGAAAGTAGGCAGGCGAGCAGGACTGTAGGATCACACACCAAGGAACAGTCTCACAGGCTATGTGCTGCATATACTCTAGGAGCCAGGAGATAATGGGGCAAGTAACGGGACAGGAGTGGGTGTGGGTGTGGGGGTGCAGGTCCTGTGGGGAACCCCAAGAAAAGCTCTAGGGATGTAGGAGGGCCAGTAGTCCAGAGTATTGGACCCTTCCCTTAAGTGTCAGGAAAGCCAGGTCGCCCTAGGGAGGGAAGGGACAAGACCCCCACCACCCACAGCACTAATCTGGGAGATTTTCCCTTAGCAACCCCCGAGGCAACCAAGGCTGCCTCGGGCTAGGTGCTGGAAGGTTTTGGTGTTTTCTCCAGGCTGGCCTGTACTTGTTGGGCATCTGGGGACACCACGATGAAGCTCCTGTCAGGAGGACTGTGTGCCTCAGGTGGCCCCCTCGTGAAAGGGTAACCCTTCCAGCCTCCATCTCTGTCGCAGATGACCCTTGCTGGTTAGTAGTGGTGCGGTTCCTTCCTGTCCCTGACCTGTGTCCTGTACTGGGTGACTGCAGCTAGCTGACCAAGCTCTCTGGGCTTTTCCCCTTTCAGGGCAGTCTCCTTGGAGCTGTGGGGTGTTTGAGCTTCGGGGAAGAATTTCCTTAAAAGTTACTTATTCCATTCTGGTCACATTTCTAAGTACAAGTGGAGGCCCCCAGCACAGTCGCAAACAGACGGTTTCTGTTCGGTCCTGGAAGACATGGAGGGGCTTTTTCTTTAAACTGGTTGAGCTGAATTGGAGAATTGGTTTGCGGAGAGGGAGGTGACCTGGTTGCTGAGGGATCTGAAGACCGGCCAGAGCTTGTCCAATCTGCATTCGCCCACTGGGTGCCCAGACGTTGCCTGGAGCTCTGCTTCTGGAGTTAGACAAACACTGGCGTTATTTTGCTGCTGGGCCTGGATCACCAGCTGGATCTGGGGTTTGAAGTTGTGCAGAACCATGTGAGAAATTAGCTACTGTAGATAACTAGTAGAACACCTAATGACGAGCATTTGGGGTCCTCCATGACTTGTCTTCCCCCCAGGGCCCCCTGGAGGCTTTGCCTTCCACAGTGTATATTAACTCTGGCTAGACTTATTGCTAGCTTTTATCTTTTGTAGATAGGAGTCTTGCTGTTTCTCCCACATGGGCCTTGAACTCCTGGGTTCAAGTGATTTTCTTTTCTGTCCCCAAGGCAGGGTGTTAGTGTGTAGGCCAGGTTGGCTTGGAACTCTCAGTACTCCTGCTTCCGCCTCCCAATTGCTAGGGTTATTTACTTATTGGGTCGTTTTCCTGTTGTTGTTTTGTTTTTGAGACAGGGTTCCTCTGTGTAGCTTTGGCTGTGCTGGAACTCGCTGTGTAGACCAGGCTGGCCTCAAAATCAGAGATCCGTCTACCTCTACCTTCCTAGTACTAGAATTAAAGGCATGGGCCACCATGTCCAAATGGGTGTTTATTTTTAACAAGTTCATAGAAATATAAAAAGTTAGGTGTGCATGGTGGTACGCACCTGTAATCTCAGCACTCAGGAGTCAGAGGTGGGGGAGTCATGATTTGAAGGCCAAACTGCGCAACATGGTGAGATCTTGTCTGAAAAGGACACAGAAGACTGAGCCAGTAAAGTGATTTCTGGATAAGCATGAGGGCCTGAATTGGATCTCCAGCACCCACATGGAAAACCTATAACACCAGGATTGGGGGGTGCTCTCTGGCCAGTCAGTGTAGTCCAGCTGGAGAGATCCAGGTTCAGAGAGAGACCCTGCCTAAAAACAAGGTAGAGAATGATAGAGAAAGACAGCCCAGACCTCCACACAGACTCACACGTGAGCATTCGTGCATATACATGGGCGTGCATACACAGGGACACACCCACATAAAGAAAAAAGGAAGAAATCAAGGAAAGAAAGGAGGAATGGACAAAGATGACATTTGTACATTGTAATGTCTGAATCGTGACTTTATTCTCTTTATCTAAGGAGGTCAAACTTTGCTCTCCATGGCAAGATAAAATAGATTTGAAGAGAATGTGCTGAGCAGTCAGGGTTCACAAAGCAACAGGGACTGCTGTGCATGCCAAGGAAGTGAAGGGCAGGGATGACCGAGCCTCTGATCCTGGTTCTTGAGTGAGGCCTGGAGCACCGAGGGCTAGGGGATAGCCGCGCTAATGTGCCAGCGTTAATCATTGGCAAAACTCTAGTTTCCGGAGCATAGTAGGCCTAATGTAACTCCCGAGGAACTGTCACAGTGTCTTGAGACACTTTGAAGTAGGTGAATTCATTGTTTTTCCTTTAAAAAAAAAAAAAAAGACCCAAAGTGGAAGAGGCTTGCCCAAGCCACCCAGCGCTTATGTGGCTGAGCAAGGAGTTCCCAACAAAAATAACGGAGCCAATGCCAGGGCCAACACTGAGCATCAAGCCGGGACATTTTTTTTTTTTACAAGAGCCCAGTGGCAGTTCTTTTTAGCCTCTGAGGAAATCAGCTCAGAGAGGTTAAGGATCTCTCACAGGGTTATCAAGCTGGTAAGTTCTGGACCTCAGATTCCATGCCCACATAAAACCCAGACTTTTGGCTCCCCAGAGTTTAGTAGCAGTCACCCACCTTTCAGGCCGTGCCCTGTCTTCTTCACGGTGGCCCTTTGGCTGTCTCCCTCCATAAACATCTGTGTGGGCAAAACAGTAGAGCAGGAATCCCATCATTCCCTGTGTTTCCTGCTCTGTGGGGATGGCCTGGTGGGTACAGATTAGAAGGCACTTGGTGAAACCTGAGCGTGGGGTGGGGGTCAGGGCTCACTTTCTCCAAAGCCCACTTCCTCCTGATGACCTGGGCTGAAGGTACCAGCCAAGAGGTATGAGAACTCCAGAAGGAATTAGGGTTGTCAAGCCGTGGAAGAGAAGGTGAAGAGGGGGTCCTGGGGTTTAGGGAAAGGGGAGTATGAGTTAGTAGACTTGGAGAGGGGGAATGGGAGGACCAGAATTCCCATATTCCCACTTCCTCTTGGGACAGGGCATGTATCTTTTTTTAAAGATTTATTTATTATGTATATGTGTATATGTCTGCACACCAGAAGAGGGAACCAGATCTCATTATAGATGGTTTTTAACTACCATGTGGTTGCTGGGAATTGAACTTAGGGCCTCTGGAAGAGTTGCCAGTGCTCTTAACCTCTGAGCCATCTCTCCAGACCAGTCATATATCTGATTTCTTTACAATTATGTGAATCTCTGCATGTGGTTCGTGCACATGTGAGTGCAGATGCCAGTAGAGTTTAGAGGGCATCATTTCCCCTGGAGCTGGAGTCACACAGTTGTGAGCCTGTGGGCACTGGGAACCAAACGCAGAGCGTCTGGGAGAGCAGCACACATTCTCAGCTACTGAGGCATCCCTTCAGCCCAAGGCGGAATATCTTTTGGCCTGCCTGCTTGCACAGTTTACCCTCTGGTGTCCTCTATCTCTGTGACAGGATGGTTGGGATTAAGATTCCTTCCCTGGGAATGTCACTTCCCAGCCACCTTCCCTGAGTCTGTGGGCAAGTGCCAATTTTCAGGAATCCTGGAACCCAGAAGGGTGTCATCCTGAATGTTCTGTGCTGAGAACAATTCAACTAAATAGTTCCGTGTCCTCAGGAGTCCAAACTCCAGTTTCCCTGGTCCTTAGATATGTCCCCAAGGATCAGGTAAATGTTCCAGGAGACAACTAATCACCCCTCTCTCCAAGACGATCTTATGCAGCCCAGGCTGGCCTTGTTCTTGCTCTATATAGCCAAGGATAACCTTTCAACTTCTGGTCCTCCTGCCTCCACCTCCCAAGTGCTGAAATTATAGGTGGGAGCTGTCGCACTATGCTTAGGATACAGTTAATGTTCTGTCTGTCCATCCCTGTGTTCCCCCCCACCCCACCCCGCTAATCCTGCTAAACCCATTGGCTCAGATGGAAGGTTTTTGTTTTTGTTGTGGTGCTGGGGTGGGCCCTTGGGCCCTGAATCTGCTGGGCCACACACCCATTCCAAGGACAGACTTTGTTTTGTTTTGTTTTTCTAGACAGGGTTTCTCTGTGGTTTTGGAGCCTGTCCTGGAACTCGCCCTGTAGACCAGGCTGGTCTCGAACTCACAGAGATTCACCTGCCTCTGCCTCCTGTGTGCTGGGATTAAAGGCATGCGCCACCAACACCTGGCCAAGGACAGACTTTTAAAGAGTCCATCAAGCTAATCTCAGGCTGGGGATCTCTAACCACTACTAGTATTCACAAAGATGGCAGCTATGATTTACTGAGTCCCTCAAGGATGTTCAAACTGAGTTTGGGTCCTTTCAATCTGCAGTATTCTACAAGGTGTAATTCTGTGACTCCCACAAGGAAGCTAAGAACCAGAGAGTCAGCCAGTGGCCCAAGGTCATGGAACTTACGTTTTATGGGATCTAGTGTCACATTTGATTGTCCCTTCCAACAATCCTTTCTAAGAAAGCGGCCCCTAATCCCCCCCATTCCCCCAAGACAGGGTTTCTCTGTGTAGCCCTGACCATCCTGAACTGTAGACCAGACTGGTCTGGAACTCAGAAACCTGCCTGCCTCTGCCTCCCAAGTGCTGGGATTAAAGGTGTGCTCCACCAATGCCCGGCTCCCTTTTTATTCTTATATTTTTGGTTTGTGAGCCTAGCCTTTAACAGCTGAGCCATCTCTCCAGCCCTCCCTCTTTATTCTTAACTTCCTCTCTGATTCCCTGTGAATACAGGATAGGAGCCCGCCAAGTGCACCTGACATCCATCTCCCAGGCCCCCAGCCACTTGGTACCAGCTGGCTTGGCTCTTCCTTTCTTGTATGATCTTGGGTAAGTCACAGCTTTCCAGACAGCAATATACTTCTGCCACAGAGGTGTTGTTTGTGGCTGATCCTGGTTTCTACTAGTGTGGGAGTCACAGAGAAAGGGAGAGAGGTATCAACAGCCCATCCTCCTGTGACAGCCCGTCCTCCTGTGACATCACTTAAGACACTTCCAGGCCCTTAGAAACCCACTCTAGAGTCTCTCACCTGTGCAAATGCCACTTAGCACTGGCATCTGGGGACTTTCTATACAGCAGATGTCATTGGCCACAGGCTCCAGAGAAACGCCTCCAGGTATCCAGTGCAATCTGAGAGGCTTAATGGGGGTAGGGTACTGTGGCAGTTTGCTGGGCTGGCTGTCCAGGACAGGCGAGGCCTGGCTGCCTGATAGGCAGATCACTCTGGATGCCCTAGGATCTCTCTGGATCACCCCTTTCCATCTGGCTCAGACTTGATCTCTGCCTTGCTCCCTCTTTTCCTCTGGGCTTGAGGTCTCTTAGATCCAGAGGGTAGGGCCTATTGAAGATAGAGCTATTTATATGGAGCAGCGCCTCTGCCAGGGTTCTAATGGAAATCAAGCCATGGGGCCTCTATACCCCTAGAATGTTGCCTCTGGGTTCTGTGTTTAGGGCCCACCATGTCTAGGTGCGTGGGGGTTGTGTGCTGGTATTGTCCCCTTCCTGGGGAGTGGCTGTGAGCCAGGGCTTCCCTGGTGAAGATCAAGAGGATAAGACTGAGGGAGACTAGAAGCCTAAGGAAATAGCTTACACAAGCACCAACTGCCTGCTTCCAATCAGTATTTAGCAACATTGTTCTGGAGGGGCAGGAAGATGTCACAGGAGGCGGGCCAGCAGCTGAAAACTTGATAAATGTCAGGTTTGCAGACAGAGCACTGGGTACCTACAGGCACAGAGCACTGGGTACCTACAGGCACAGAGCACTGGGTACCTACAGGCACAGAGCACTGGGTACCTACAGGCACATAGCACTGGGTACCTACAGGCACAGAGCACTGGGTACCTACAGGCACAGAGCACTGGGTACCTACAGGCATGCATCTTTCTCCCCCTCTTCCTTAGAATAAGAGTCTCTTCATCCCTAGATTGTACCATCTGGGCAACAAAATGGGTGGTATTAGATAGGACTTACCTCCCAGGGAAGGTACAAGAATTGATTGTGTTGGGTGACACTTGAGAGGCAAGCAGCCTGGTCTACACAGTGAGCTCCAGGACAGCCAGGGCTACACAGTAAAACCTTGTCTGGAAAAACAGAAAGAGAAAAAAAGGATTGATTGCAACAAGCATAGAGGGACCAGCTGTTTGGTTTCAACTGCTCCCTCATGCACTCACGACTGGGAAAGGAAGCATGTAAACTTGGCACATGTAGGTTCAACAAAGCTAAGTATACTTTGACATAGAACTTCCGAGAGTCTCTGATGTGTTCTCATGCCTTGGGGAGTCCCAGGAGTGGGAGACGGAGGCTAGGAGTGGACCTCACAGGGAACAGCAACGAGGTGTACACGGTTCCCTCCAGCTCCACTGCATCCATGACAGAATGGACACCCTGCTGTGCTGGCTGTGTGCGTCTAGGAGGGAAGACAAGGGTGAGTCACACAAGATGTGTTCTGAGGCCTAGTCTGCCCCTGCATACAAAACGGAGGTCAAATTGTTAGGGCTGAAGTGCAGTCTCTTGAGAGGAGGAACAAGCCCTTGGTGGAAATTGTTAATAGTCCTTGTTAATAGTCCATCTAAAGGACCTGCTCCCCGAGTCTGCCCTGAGTCAGGCTCTCTGGGATGAAGGAAGCTGAAGAGCACTGTGCTCCCTAGGGCTTTGGAGCCCCCAGGTGTAGTGGTGTGTGATTGATTGAACTTTTTTTTTTTTCAAAATAGGGTTTCTCTATGTAGCCTGGCTGTCTGGAACTCTCTCTGTAGACCAGGCTGGCCTCAGACTCACAGACATCTGCCTGCCTCTGCCTCCTGATGATGGAACTCTTGAAGAAGCTTACAGAGTGGAGTTTAGGGAGGGTGAGCAGGCTCGGGGCAGGTCCTGATGCTACCTATTCAGGTTCTTGAATTGTGCATGAATCCGTTGGGTGTTGGGGGGGGGGTAGTGACGGATAACCTGTGGGAACACAAGCTCCAGCACATACAATGGCTGGGACAAAGGTGGCCTTGTCAGACACCTGGCGATCCATGGACAGAATACCTGAATGCTGAGTCCAGAAAGCTTGTTGAGGGAGTTGTCCAGCAGATACCAAGAGATGCTTGAGTTAATCAGTGATGATGTCTTAGTCAGCATTACCATTGCTATGAGGAACACCATGCCCCAAACAACTTGGGGAGGAAAGGTGTTGCATGAGTTCTAATTGGTCTTAATAATGAAAACACGGGGGGGGGGGGGGCTGGAGAGATGGCTCAGAGGTTAAGAACACTGACTGCTCTTCCAGAGGTCCTGAGTTCAATTCCCAGCAACCACATGGTGGCTCACAACCATCTACAATTCAATCTGGTGCCCTCTTCTGGTATGTAGGCAGAACGCTGTATATGTAATAAATAAACAGAGTCAGATATCAGGGTAAATTCTGAAAGGTCAGAGAAGTAAAGGAACCAGTCACAAGAGAGACCTCTTAGCTCTACTGAATCCTCAGACCAAAGGGGCGATCCTCAGACTGGATGCCCTGAGCTGCTGTCTCCTCCTGCCTTCTATTCCTCTCTGCCCAGCCACATCACTCCTATCTCCACCTCCCTAGTGCTGGGATTAAAGGTGTGCCACCACTGCTTGGTGTCTATGGCTAACTAGTGTGGCTAGCTCCACACTCTGATCTTCATCCAAGCTTTATTTGTTAGATCACAAACAAAATCACCACATTCCCCCTTTTTTGTCTAAAATAAAAAAGGTTATAACTAACATAAGAAAAACTATATTATATACAATAAGTACAATAACTATATACAATATATACAGGCAATAAATACATCAACAATGTCTAGTCTGTTTCCATTTGACAAATTCAGAGAAAATACGCGCTATCTTATCGATGTGAGTTCAAAGGTTGTAGCTAATTCTAATTTGCATTATCAAAATTATCTTTTAATGTTTCTCAACCTTTTTACACTTAAATCTCTTTGTGAGTTTCTTTTCTGAATTAGTTAACAAGGAAAACTATAACTATAACTATCTAGTCTTCAACTCCCTCAGAGATCTGAGAAGGAAATCATATTTTTAAAATTTATTTTTATTTTATATGCATTGGCGTTTTGCCATTGGTGTTGGGTCTCCTAGAATTGGAATTACAGACAGTTGTGAGCAGCCATGTGAGTGCTGGGAATCAAACCCAGATCTTCTGGAAGAACAGTCAGTGCTCTTAAACACTGAGCCATCTCTCCAATCCCCAAGACATTATCTGAGTAAGGAGGAAGTACAAGCAAGCGACTTTCAAAAAATGTGGGAAATGACAGAAACAGCTTGCTGCCTGGACAGCAAGTTCCTCTGTAACGTCGGGCCATCCATCTTCCGCCTATAGGCCTAGAATGTTAGACAGACTTTTCTATGAAGCAGGATTTTTGAAGGACTGCCATGCCTCGTCTTCACAAAGGTTTGGCATGGTAAGGTTCAGCAGTCACTTTCCTTTGTGTCCTGCTTGGGGACAACACACTGTCAGCAGCTGAGGCAAGGGCACTTTCGTGTGCAGTGGCTAACTTTTGTTACAAAGAAAGTAAACTCCATGTGGAGTTTCTTCTCCCATCATCTTCTCTGCAGCAGATTGGTGCTGCCAGGAACAAACATGTCTCATTGTCATAAAAAAAGAACCTATGTTATTAAAACATCTTAAATTCTGTTCTTTTTTAAAAATACTTTTTATTTTATTTTTAAAAATATTTTATTTATTTATTATACAGTCTTCTGCATGCCAGCAGAGGACACCAGATCTCATTCAAGTTGGTTGTGAGCCACCATGTGGTTGCTGGGAATTGAACTCAGGTCCACCTAACCGCTGAGTCATCTCTCCAGCTCCATTAAATTCTGTTCTTAAAACATCTTAAATCTCTATTATGTATATCTCTGAAATGTTTGAAGACAACCTGTCTATATAAAATGTCTCTGACCTTGAAAACATGCCTATTATGACCACAAGTTTGTAATGGGTGACTGACTACTAACCTCCATTTCTTTATTATCCTAAATAGTTTGTAATAATAATTTTAAGGACTAGAAATTTGCATTACACTGTTAAATTGTATAGGTACAATACCTTGGACAAGATTAAAAATGTATGTGTAGTTTGTCCTAACAGAAAGCATTTATCTGGATTATGTTTCCACATCATACACGGAAGTTTACGGTCAAAGGAAGTCAGGACAGGAACTCACTTGGGGCAGAAACCTGGAGTCGGGAGCTGATGCAGAGGCCATGGAGGGGAGTTGCTTACTGGCTTTCTCAGCCTACTTTCTTTAGAATCCAGGACTATCAGCTCAGGGATAGTACTACCCACGATGGGCTGGGTCCTCCCCCATTGATCACTAAATGAGAAAATGCCCTATAGACATCCTAATCTCATAGTGGAATTTTCTCAGCTGAGGCTGATACAAGCCAGTGTCTTCTCTAATGACACTAGCTTGTATCTAGTTGACATAAAACCAGCACAAATGATAAACCCGTGTTAAACAGCAGGTGCCAGGCAAATGTGTTATGTTTGTTAAAGACTGGCAAATAGCCCCTGTCACCATGTCTCAAATATTACTTATTTTCTCTTCTCTGTGGCAAAGTACTTGACAAAAGCAACCAAAGTGAGGAGGGTTTATTTTGGCTCAGTCTGAGGGTACAGTCCATCATGGTCTAGAAGACATGGCGGCAGGCGCTTCAGGCAGCTAGTCATTGTAGCTACAGTCAGGAAACAGAAAGGAAGGAATGCTGATGTCCAGTGCGCTTTACCCTTCCTCCCTTCCTCCCTTCCTCCCTCCCTCCCTTCCTCCCTTCCTCCCTCCCTCCCTTCCTCCCTTCCTTCCTTCCTCCCTTCCTTCCTCCCTTCCTCCCTTCCTCCCTCCCTCCCTTCCTCCCTTCCTTCCTTTCTTTCTTCCTTTCTTTTTCTCCTTCCTTCCTTCCTCCCTTCCTTCCTTCCTTTCTTCCTTTCTTTTTCTCCTTCCTTCCTCCCTCCCTCCCTCCCTTCCTTCCTTCCTCCCTCCTTCCTCCCTTCATTCCTTCCTTTTTCTCCTTCCTTCCTTCCTTCCTCACTCCCTTCCTTCCTTTCTTTTTCTCCTTCCTTCCTTCCTTTCTTCCTTTCTTCCTTCCTTTCTTTTTCTCCTTCCTTCCTCTTTCTTTCTTTCTTTCTTTCTTTCTCCTTTCTTCCTTCTTTGTCATAGAGGAAATACTTTTTTATTGAAAATATATCTTTTGTACAATGTATTTTGATTATGGTTTCCCCTCCCCCAACTCCTTTCTTATCCTCCTACTCCCTCCCCCAAAACCACACCCTTTCTTTCTTTCATTGGAATGCAAGCATGCATCTAAAATATAAATAATAAGGCAAACAAACAAACCAGAATAGGACAAAACATACAAACAGGAAAAGAAAAGAGCTAAAGAAAAAATCACAAGAAACACATATAGATGCTGACACACACACATTCACACACAGATAACTCAAAAAATCAGAAACCATAATAAATAAGCAAAAAAGTATGTAGGGTTAAGAAAAGAAGCCATTGAGTTTGTTTTGTGTTGCTCATCTACTTCAGGGAATGTGGCCTGCCTCTAAGGGTGGTTTGTATACCCAGTGAGACCCCACTGGAGTCTCCATTGGAGAAAACGAGTATTTTCTTTTTTTTTTTAAAGATTTTATTTATTTATCACATACACAGTGCTCCGCCCACATCCCTGCAGAGGGCACCAGACTGAATTGTAGATGGTTGTGAGCCACCATGTGGTTGCCGGGAATTGAACTCAGGACCTCTGGAAGAGCAGCCAGTGCTCTCAACCTCTGAGCCATCTCTCCCGCCCGAAAACGAGTATTTTCTTTGTGAGTGGTTATCAATTGCAGGTGTTTCTGGGTTAGGGGTGTGGGATAGTATTCTCTTCCCCTCTCGGTACTTCCCTCCCAGTGTTCACCCTGACCTGGCTTAGACCCGTGCAGGCCCTGTCTGCCCGTGCTGCCACAGTCTCCGTGAGTCCATACCCCGGTACAATGGCAGGTACATCAACAACAGAGAGGAATAAAACAGGAAGGAAGCTGGTTTGGGTGTGACATAGGTTAGGTGGGACTCAGGACGGGCAGTCAAGGTTTGAGTTCCAGGAGGAGGGTTTAAATTTGGTTTATCCGGAATTAGGATCCAAGGGCAACAGAGAGGAGACTGGAGAGGCTGAGGGAAAAAGGTGATTCTACAGTCTTTTTGTTTGTTTGTGTGACATGGTTCCTCTGTGTAGCTTTGGAGCCTGTCCTAGAACTCACTCTGTAGAGCAGGCTGGCCTTGAACTCACAGAGATCCACCTGTGTCTGCCTCCCAAATACTTGGATTAAAGGCGTGCACTATCAACGCCTGGCAAGGGGCAATTCTATAGGACTGAATCCTGAGACTTCTCTCAGGAAAAGTGGCTTTTGGGGTTGGCTCCTGAAGTGCTACCAGAATGCATCATGCTGTTCTTTCATTTAGAAAATAGTGTGAGCCTCTCACTGCACACTAGAAGTCCACGAAGCATGAGGACAACCTGCCCAGCCTCTTTGAGCTCACAGTTACACAGTTAACGCCCTGGAGATGTTTAAGAGTTTGACGATAGACACTCGAGTAGCGGGGTCAGGGGAACAAAGAAGAAGTGGGTTTTGAGGTGTGAATAGGAGTTTGCCTAAGTCGGCAAGATGGGGAGGAGTCTCAGGAGAGGGAACAGCTTGTGCAAAGCATGACGAGAGACAGTAGCTGCGGTAGTCTGTGTGGCTATGATAAGGAATGTGGTCACTGAGGCTGGAGGAGGAAGCAGGGGCAGACCATGCGGTGAGTGTGAGGTGACCAGAGTGGAGTCCCTGGCTGCTCTGGCTGGGTCGTGGGTGGAAGCGGTCTGTTAGTAAGGTCGTTGTCACTCAGAGTGAACATGGATGGTGGCGCAAGCTCTCAGGCTGAGCGAGCCGGTCCCCATCTCCTGGGGCAGCTGTGTGGCAATTGGACTGGAAAGGAAGTGGCCGAGGCAGGGACCCTTATGTGTGAATGAGGCCCCTCCGCATGCACGCATGCTCTGAGTGTCTGGTGTTCTGTGTTGCATGAATCGGTTGGTGTGAGAGGTCAGCAGGAAGGTCAAGCCTTGAGGGGCTGAACCCTGAATATTTATTGATTGTAAACACAAAGCTGTTTTTCTGGTAGAGTATTTCCTCATACCAAGGTCCCTATTCTAATCATGTGTCTCTGTAAAGGAGAGTGTCACAGGCGCCTGCTACTTTAGTCTTTAGTGTGTACCAATTGCAGTCCACAATAGCCCAAGGGTGCCAGAAGTGTCTTATGACCCAAGTCATACAAAGGCTGTCACGCTCCCTTCAGAAAAACAATCCTACACATAAATCATGGGAAGCAATCACCGTTTCCCACAACGATTCTTCAAGGTTGAAGTATTTCTAGCAAGCAACTATTCGCCCTTATGACTTAGCCTAGATACAGTGGCTCTGCTCGATTCCTACAACTGAGCACACGCTGTCAGGCCCTCTGCCGAGCACCGGGGAAGACAACTCGCCTTTTTTAGGATCACTCTTTGGTTCTCAAACTCAGCCTAAGGACAGGGTATAGGAGAAGGGAGGAAGTCTGGGGCCATCTGAGCCCCAGATAGAGACGCAAGGACTCTGACTTTGCCCTGACCTTTCCCCTAGTTTCCTGCCCAGGACCCAGACATGGCGATGGCAGTAGCCCAGAAGTTCAACCACCTGCTGGCCAGCCTTTGGCACGTGGGCCAGAAGCCTCTGCAGCCAGAGCGGGTGTTCACAGTGGACCGGGCTGAGGTGCCGCGTCTCTTCTGGAAGCCGTACATCTATGCTGGCTACCGGCCGCTGCACCAGACCTGGTGTTTCTACTTCCGCACGCTGTTCGAGCAGCACAACGAGGCTGTGAATGTGTGGACCCACCTGCTGGCGGCCCTGGCACTGCTGCTGCGCCTGGTCATCTTGGTGTGGAGCGTGGACTTCTGGGAAGACCCGCACGCCCTGCCCCTCCTCATCATCGTCCTGGCCTCCTTCACTTACCTCTCCTTCAGTGCCCTGGCGCACCTCCTGCAGGCCAAGTCGGAGTTTTGGCACTACAGCTTCTTCTTCCTGGACTATGTGGGCGTAGCCGTGTACCAGTTTGGCAGTGCCCTGGCGCACTTCTACTATGCCATTGAGCCCACCTGGCATGCCCAGGTGCAGGCCATCTTCCTGCCCATGGCCGCCTTCTTGGCCTGGCTATCCTGTGCTGGGTCCTGCTACAACAAGTACAGCCAGAAGCCAGGCCTGCTGGGCCGCACTTGCCAGGAGGTGCCCTCGGCGCTGGCCTATGCGCTGGACATCAGCCCCGTGGTGCACCGCATCATAGTGTCCCCTCTCCCTCCTGAGGATGACCCCGCTCTTCTCTATCACAAGTGCCAGGTGGTTTTCTTTCTTCTGGCCGCTGCGTTTTTCTCCACCGTCATGCCGGAGAGTTGGTTCCCCGGCAGCTGCCACATCTTTGGGCAGGGACACCAAGTTTTCCATGTCTTTTTGGTGCTGTGCACGTTGGCCCAGCTAGAGGCGGTGACATTGGACTATCAGGCCCGGAGGCCCATCTATGAGCCTCTGCATGCTCGTTGGCCCCACAACTTCTCTGGCCTCTTTCTGCTCACCGTGGGCAGCAGCATGCTCACCGCCTTGCTCCTCAGCCTGCTGGTGCGCCGCAAACTCCGTCAGAAGACTAAGTGAAAGCAGGGTGGGCCGGGAGCTGGCAGGGTGAGAGAAGGCGCTAGGGACAGAGGCCTGGACTTGGCCGCAGATGGGAACAAGGCCTGGTAAAGCTGTTTGTATCTGGCGGGCCATGACTCCCTGCCTGCAAGCTCACGGCCAAGGTGGTGCTAGCCAATCCTTGGACCTGGGGATTGGCTGGGAGCCGCGGAGTCCCTGGCCAGTTCCCTGCCCTGGTAGGAGAAGAGATAAGGGAGTGGGGCTTCCTGACTGCCCCTCCCTTGCCTCCTATCAGGGGTCAAGGTTGGGGTTCAGCCTTGGTTAGCACCCTGGTTTGGGGTCTCCAGGTTGTTGGGTGGGGGATGAGACTGGCCAGTGTCAGATTTGAGCTGAGAGGGAGGGGAAGCCTCAGTAGCCACCATCTGCCACATTTTACTGGTGAAGAGGAAACAAACAGGCCAGAAGGATGGGTGGCATTTTTTTTTTAGATGGGTGGCATTTTAATCTGTCTCCTGCACGCCAGCCTGGATCACTGGGTTCCAGAGAGGCTCCAAAGACAGAGGGTCCTCTCCATTGCCCAGGTGCCTTCATGACAGCCCCAGCCTTGAGCCTCCCATCTTTGGCCTGCAGGTCCTGCACACTCCTTCCAGCTCCTGTCCCGAAACTCCCACTTGTGATTCTGAGCTCTGTCTCCTTAGCTCTGTTTCCAGGACTCCAGGCTTTAGCACCTTAAGGAACTCTCAAAGGGGCTCAGAGGCCAGGCTAATGAGCACTGCCTGGGGTTTTCAGGACCTTGGGCTGGGGAGAGTGAGGAGGAGCTTGCTAACCCAGCTTAGGGCATTCCAGGCAAAAGGGGACACCTGTCCCCAGAACCAGAGATGCAAAGCAGGGAGTTCAGTGGGGCTGGAGGTAAGGCTGGTGTCTGGTCCCTGATATGTCCTAGATGTAATAAAGTGACTATGACAACAGCTTCCTCTGCTTTTTGGCTCCTGCTTGGCTTCCTCCATTCACAAGGAAGTTTTTCTGTAGGAAGCTGCAGGGTGCTGAGGGGATGCTGTGGAGCAGGGGGCTCTTGTTTTATTTTGACCTGAGGGAAGAATTGATGTTGGGAACGTGTGTGTATGTATGTGCGTGCGTGCGTGCATGCGTGTGTGCAGGTGTGTGTGCACGTGTGTATATGTGTATGTGTGCATGTGTGTACATATTTGACATTCTGAGGGATTAAAGAACAGTTTTAAAATTGACTAATTTTAGAAGTAGTTAAAATAGTGTTTCAAATCTAAGGGTTGAGGGCAGAGCTCAGTGGTAGAGGGCCAGCCTGGGAAACAGAGAGACCCTGTCTCAAGGTAAAAAGAGGGCTGGTAATGTAGCTCATTATAAAGCCTCGCATGAGGCCTACATTCAGTCCCCAGTACTGCAAAATGAAGAAGTGAATAGGACATATCCCTCCATTAATAACATTCTGGGAGTCTTCATAGAAGACATGAAATTTATACATATGAAATTTTATATAAAATGATGAGTATGAAAATTTATAAGAAATATGCACCTGGGTTTGGAGAGGTTGCTCAGTGGTTAAGAGTGTATACTGCCCTTCCAGAAGATCTGCGTTCAGTTTCCAGCACACATGTTGGGTGGCTCACAGTCTCCTGTAACTCCAGCTGGGGGGGGGCGGGTACAGTGCCTCTGAAGGAATCATCACTCACATGTACATGTACACCCCCCATAAACATAACTATATATAACAAATTTAGATTTGCTTTGAACTCACAGAAATCTGCCTCTGCCTCTCAAGTTTTAGTATTAACACCCTTCTATCATGCTAGATAAGCATTCTCTCAAACAAGCTATATCTTTACCCCTTGATTCCAATTTTATTTCATGTTTTCAAAAATCTTCCGTGTAGTGGCTTAGTGACTCTTATATGCCAATTAGTGGCAGCCTTGAGTGTGTGGTGGCCATTAGGTCAGCACTGGGACAAGGGGGTTTGGAGTGGATTGCAGTGCCTGGATCCACAGCCTCCTTTGTGGGAGGGGAAGCTCCGGGGAGTCAAAAGTGCAGTCTGGGACTGTAGAGATGGCTCAGCGGTTAGGATCACTGGCTGTTCTTGCAGATGACTCACATGGCAGCTCACAAGAACCTGTTAATGCTAGCTCCATCAGGGGATCTGTCCCCCGCGTACACCTGCACTAACCCACAGGTAGACACAAACCTATATAATTTAAAACAATTATATATACATTTCATATATATAAACATTGTTATTTACACTTTTATTATTTAATATTATTATATATAATATATATAAGAAAAATGTGCAGTCCTGCCAAACTAAACGCGGTGGCGACCCACGCACGCAGAGGGCTTCCTGGAACTCTGCTCCAGGGTTCACACAGGAAAGATTAGGAAGGCGGGAAGAGGAGACCAGCACCCGGGAAACGCCCAGCTCTCACTAGCGCACTGGGCGTGGTCAGAGGAGGGGCCTACGTCTCGACGGCCTCGGCGAGGCCCCGCCTCCCGCAGCGGCGCGAGATACAAACGCGCGGTGCCGCCACGGGCGGCTGCGGAGGCCGCCATGAAACGCAGAGGCCCCGAGGAGGAGGCCTGTGGCGTGTGGCTGGACGCGGCGGCGCTGAAGAGGAGGAAGGTGCAGGTGGGACGCCGTCGTTGAGGCGACACGCGGGCTTTGTGGACGCCTGAGTGGAGGGGGCCGGGATGAGGGAGGACGGCTTCGGGGCGACGGGCCGCGCGCGGCCTAAGCTGGAGTCGTCCTGTGGCGTCCTGACCCAGGCGCAACTAGGGTCATCCACAGGGTGTGTTCTCCCCAGCCTGCTAGAACCAGCAGCTTTGCCGGGGGAATATCGAAAATGCGCGGCGGGGATCTGGCCCAACATTAAGTGGGCATCCCTGGGGTGCTGGAGGCTGTAATGGGCATTTAATATGCGTTTGCCCTTGATTGAGCATAGGACCGCACTGTGTCTCCGCCTCTCGTGTGGTATGCAAGCCCTCCCTCTGCCACCTACTGTATCCTCAGTTCTGTCCCTCTCCCTCTTCAGACAAGGTCCCACTGTGTTCCCAAACTCAGCCCTCCAGCCTCAGCTTCCCACATATGGGATCATGAGAGTATGCCCCAATGCTTAGTTTATAGTCATATTTCTTACCCTGTCTCCCACATGGGCCAGAATGATCATTTGCTTGGTTAAATGTACCCCCCCCCCCCCCCCGTAGCAACCAGAAGCTCCCTTAAGTCCCACCGCACTGGATGTGTATATGCTCACACCATTCAGCTTCTTTTCGTCTGGTCCATTCCTCTGCCTCATTCTGTCTGCTCCAGCCGCACTGACCTTGCTGTTTCAGGTACCTCTTGTTAACATTGAGGCACTATGCTGGCCCGCCCCCATCACCTGGCAGGATGTGCTTGTCCCATTTCTCTCTCTCTCCTCATCACTTCCTCTCCGGGCTGACTGTTAGGACCTCTTCTTTTCCCCCCCATCAACCAACTCCCACGTGGGTTCGTTGTGGATCATGATTCGCTCTCACCACCGCTAAACTACACGCCCCTGCCGGGCGCTTTTGCACCTGTCTGCTCCAGTGTGGAGGGACCTGACAGTTACACTGCTGTACTCTGCATGTGCTCTTCCTTGGCCCCAGACACAGGGGCCTTTGTGCATAAGCCACACTCTTTGTTTTCCACCATGGCACTGTCCATCAGGCATACTACATGCTATATGTTCTGTGGGGCCAGGCGGAACTCACACCATTTTAGACTAGACACCATTTTGAGAAGTCCCTGACTGGACCCTAAATCCAGTTCCAGGAAAATCGCTTCAGGACTCCTCGTCCTGTCGAGTCAGCAGGTCACAGGACTAACAAACATCGTGTCATGGTCACTAGATGTCCTAACAGGAATTTCCAAATGGTTACTTGACCCCAGGGCTGGTGGGCCAAAGAGTCATCCCCCTACTTCAATCAGATAACTCCAAGGCATGTACCTTGCTCAGCTTGCAGGGTTTCTTGTTGGTTTTTCATTTATAAGCCCCTCCCCTGCTGTTTTGAGGCCACTCCTCTCACCCTATGCGTTGGAGTGCTGTTGGATGGACTGAACTCCCGGTTTGCTTCAATGACCCCCTTTGTATTTGCATTGGAATTTGGCTCTGTGGTGGTCATGTGGGTGGGGGGTCCCGAGTCCTGTATTTCTCTTCATTACAATGAAAGTATCTGGTAGTCTTTCAAGCAGTTCTACTCAGTAAATATTTGTCTGCTGAGTGAGTGAACAAGTCCTTCCAGCTTTGCTTTCTCTGCTGTTTTAGTGACTTACTTTCATTCTGAGGGGTGAGTGGGAGGACTTTGAGCTTTTTTGGGTAAAGATTGGCTGGAGATCTCCAGTAAAGTGACTGTGGAAGTGTTTAACACTCCTGTCTGATGTTAATTTCTTTTTAATAGAGAAGCAAACTTTTATTTCATTAAGTGGAAAGGCTTAACAATAATGGAGCCCAGGATGGCAGCACTTATGGTATCTACACTATAGCTTGGCAAATGTAAGATTGTAATCGTCTTATGTTTTATGCCATCCTGGCATCCATTTTAGTTAGAAGTTACAATTTCTCATGCCAGAAGCAGAGAGGCCACTGACTCCAACAGTTTTCAAGTTTGTACCCTAATCTGGAACCCTTAAGTTTCTCAGTGTGGTCAATCCAGTTACCTGCCTTATACAGCTTTTTGCTGGTGACCAGTTCCCTGAGGGACAGCAAGTGTAGCCTGTCTGACAGACTGTTGATTTTCCCTACCGGACACTGACTGGGTACTAACCATACCACCTCCTAGAACTCACATCTGCGCTCTTTAAGCCCTCCAGTTGAAACTCTCCAAGGAAAACATGTTTGGGACTCGTGTAAAAGGCATTGGCCCTATGAGTCCGTATCTGTTCTCTTGCCTTGGGATTATAGTCATGCACACCTATACCCAGCAAATAAAATCACCCCCCACCCACCTGTGCTGATGACCTCCAATTTGCTTGCTGCGGATGGCCTTGAACTAATGATCCTTGTCTCTACCTCCCAAGTTCTGGAATTACAAGCATGCACCACCATGCCAAGCTCATAGGCCAACTTTCTTCAGCAGTACAAAGTACACATTTTGAGATAGGAGAATCAGCCAAAGGACTTTGTACTCGAGTTCCTCTCTGTTCTCAGACTCTTTCACTCCACTGAGGGTGTTCAGTAGGTCCCCAAGGCCATAGGTATTCTTTTTTTTTTTTTTTTTTTTTTTGGTTTTTCGAGACAGGGTTTCTCTGTGGCTTTGGAGGCTGTCCTGGAACTTGCTCTTGTAGACCAGGTTGGCCTCGAACTCACAGAGATCCACCTGCCTCTGCCTCCCAAGTGCTGGGATTAAAGGCGTGAGCCACCAACGCCCGGCTGGCCATAGGTATTCTAAGACAGCTACAGATGACAGTGTCGTTACCTGACAGCACTTTGAATTTCCTTTAGTGCCTACCAAAGATGCCTGGTGGCTTGATGGAGATCTCCCATAGTCTTGATGGAGATCTTCCCATAGTCTTGATGGAGATCTTCCCATAGTCTTTTTTTTTTTTTTGAGACAGGGGTTCTCTGTGGCTTTGGAGGCTGTCCTGGAACTCGCTCTGTAGACCAGGCTGGTCTCGAACTCAGAGATCCTCCTGCCTCTGCCTCCCGAGTGCTGCTTCCCATAGTCTTGATGGAGATCTTCCCATAGTCTTGATGGAGATCTTCCCATAGTCTTGATGGAGATCTTCCCATAGTCTTGGCCATTTGAATACTTGGTCCTCAGTTGGTGGTGCTGTTTAGGGAGGCTTAGGAGCCGTGGCCTCATTAAAGAAAGTATGTCAGTGGAGGCAAGCTTTGTGAATTTAAGACTTGTGCCATTTCTAGCTTGTGCTCTCTGTCTCAAGCTTGCAGTTCAAGATGTGATCCCTCTGCCTATTTTTTGCTGCCACACTTCTCTATTCTTGACCCTCTGGAATTTTAAACACAAATTCCTGTATGTTGCCTTGGTCATGGTGTTTTAGCACAGCATTAGAGAAGTAACTAATAATGTCCAAAAAGCTTTATTACACTATGTAGTGCTGGCTGGCCCAGAACTCACTATGTAGACCAATCTAACCTTGAACTCAACAGAGCTTTGCCTGCTTTGCCTGCTGAGTGCTGGACACAAAGGCCGGTACCACTGAGCCTGGCTGTAAAAAGCTTTATTCTCAGATATCTTGCCAATTAAGGGCTTACAATTTTCTGATGTGTAGCTTTCTGAAGTTTCTTCATAGAATCTAGCATATATAGAGTATTATTAATAGCTTGTTTTCTCTTCAAAGCTGTAAACTTTTCCAGGGCAGAGTCTGTTTTATTTGCACTTCAGCGTCTTGCATGTAGAGTCTCAAATATCATTCACAGTATTTCTCATATTTAAGATATGTGTGTTCACATAAAATTGAAAGACCCATATGCCAGTGTGGGTGTCTTAAAATGTGTTGGCTAGATTCCAAGCATGAGCATCTCCAGGGAGCAAGGCAGAAGTTCATGCATTCTGGTTTGGTAATTTAGGTTGTTAGTCAAGATAGCCACGGAATTTTCCCCAAGTTCAAAGTGAAGCAATAAGGACCTCTCTCTTTCATGGAAAAATATGATCACATTAGCAGGAGAACATATCACATGGAAACTCATGATCGTTTTACCTGGGCTGTGGGAGCTCCATTGTCTTGGCTGTCTGTGAGCTCTGGGATCAGTCATTCAGCCTGCAGTTTCCACTGGCTATTCCCTAATACAAGTGTAGCTTGAGCAATAGACTGAAGGGATCTTGTGGGTGTCTGCAAGTCATCTGCCAGTTGCAGATCCTACCTAAGCTTCCCCAAGTCCAAATCTCATGTTGACTTAGTTCATGAAGACCACAGTGCTCAGCGTGGGTATACACTGGTCTGGAAAGTGCTTCCAAGCTAGGGAAGCCAGCCATGCAGTGTTGCTGTCTCATGGCTTGTATTTTATATTTTACAGCATGCAAAGCTGCAGGTTTCCTTAAGAGGGTGTGTGTGTGTGTGTGTGTCTGTGTCTGTGTGTGAGTTCTATTTCCTGGTACCACCTTCATTCCTATACCTCTTTCCTGGTCCAAACCTTCTGTCCACAGGATTTCCACTATCTTACACATTTTATTACCCTCACTGCTTCTCTTAAAGTTTTTTTTTTTTTTACCTCCTCTCATAGGCCCTTTTATAGTTTCCTGGAATTTATATCATCTCACCCTCTACATAGATGTCAATTTGTATAAATTAGAACTTGAATCTGAATTCATGAGAGCACAAGCAGTATTTGTATTTCTGAGACTTTATTACCTGACAACATAAGATTCCGATTCCATCCATTTTCCAAAAAAATCGCATAATTACATTTTCTTTAAATTTGGATAATTCTATTATGTATGTATACCACATTTTCATTATCTGTTCTCATCTGTTGATGGACATCTGGATTGATTCCATGTGCTTGGTGTTAGGAACAGAGCAGCAATAAACATGGATGGACAAGTATCTCTGCAGTAGGTTAAAGCCTTTGGGCATGTGCCCAGGAGTAGAAGAGGTGAGCCATATGCTAGTTTTGGGTTTTTTTTTTTTAAGGTCCACACTGATTTCCACTGTGGCTGCATGCATCAGGTTACACTCCCACCACCAATGAATAAGGGTTCCTTTTTCCCCTTAAGTTTTATTTTATGAGTATTTATTTTATGAGTTTTGCCTGTATGTATGACTGTGTACCAGGTACATGCCTAGTGCCCTCAGAGGCCAGAAGAGGACACCAGATTTCCTGAGACTGGAGTTATAGACCATTATTAGCATTTGACCTGGGTCCTCTGGAAGAGTAGTAACCAGTGCTCTTAATTACTAAGCCGTCTCTCCAGCCCTGTACTGACTGGTTTTAGGTCAACTTGACACAAGCTAGTGTCATCAGAGAAGGAGGAGCCTCAATTGAGAAAATATCTCCTTAAGATCCAGCTATAAGACATTTTCTTAATTAGTGATTGATGGGGCTGGTGCCATCCTCGGCTGGTGGTCCATAAAAAAGTAGGCTGAGCAAGCCAGTAAGCAGAACTCCTCCATGGTCTCTGCATCAGCTCCTGTTTCCTTTACAGAAACTTTTTAATTTCAGAAGATTCTACTTGTTAATTGGTTTTATATTCTGAACAACTGGAGTCATACTCAGAAAAAGTCCCTTGTGTGTCTGTATATCTTTAAGTATTTTCTCCTATAGAAGTTTCAGCCCTTACATTAAAATCTGATCATTTGGAACTAGTTGTGGCCTAGTTTCATTGTTTTACAGTTTTCCCCAGCACATTCTGGTTAAAGAGGCTCCAGTTAGTATTTCTGGCATCTTTATAAACAAATTTAGTGGCTGTAGCTGCATGGGTTAATGTTAGGTCATTTATTCTGGTCTATTGATCTGCATGTGTGTTTTCATGCTAGTACCATGCTGTTTATTACTACAGTTCTGGAGCATAACTTGGAATCGGGTGTGGCAAGACCTCCTGCATTATTCTTTTTGCCCAGGATTGCTTTGGTTACCCAAGGTCTTTAGTGCTTCCAAATGAGTTTTGAGATTGTCTTCTCTTATTCCGTGATGAATGATATTGATGTTTTGGTGGGGATGGCATGGGATCTGTAGATTGCTTTGGTAAGTTTCCTGTGAGTTGCTGGGCATTGGTGGCGCACGCCTTTAATCCCAGCACTCAGGAGGCAGAGGCAGGCGGATCTCTGTGAGTTCGAGACCAGCCTGGTCTACAGAGCGAGTTCCAGGACAGCCTCAAAAATAATACAGAGAAACCCTGTCTCGAAAAAAAAAAAAAGTTTCCTGTGAATTAATTTTGGCTCACAGTTGGAGGGGGATAGTACCTGGTGGTGGTCAAATCCTGGTGGTAGCCGTTTGAAGTGGTTAGTCACACTGCATTTGCAGTTAGTAGCAGAGAATGACTGCTGGTGGCTCTGCCAGCTTTCTCCTTTTTCTGCATGGCACTGCCTACTTTAAGAGGGAGTCTTCCCATCTCAGAAGATAACCTAGACGATCCTTTCCCAGTGTGCCCAGAAGCTTGCCTCCTAGGTGATTTTAACTCTTGTCAAATTGACAGTATTAATAACCAAAGTAAGATAACTATTTTCACAGTATCAATTCTTCCAGTTCATGAACATGGGAGAACTTTTTGAATGTTTTATTCAGGTTTTCATTATAATTATAGAAACCTTTCACTTATTTGGTTAAGTTTATTCCAAGGTATTCTTTTTTGAAGTAATTTTGATTGTGATTTCTTCCTTAACATGTTTGTTATTGATATATCGGAACGCTATAGATGTATATATGTTAATGTATCTTGTCACCTTGTTGAAAGTGTTTATTCTTAAGGTTTTCTGGTAGTGTGTAGAGTCTATATGTATATCATCATTTATAAACAGGAATGCCTTGACGTTTCCTATTTGTATCCCTTTCCGTTTGCTTCTCTTATTCTCCAGCTAAGACTGCTAGCCCTGGTTCAGGGTAGAAAGAGTAGACATCTTTGATTTGTTCCTGATTTTAGTGAATGCTTTTTGAATTTTTCCTTAGGTAACACAATGCTGGCTGTAGGTTTGTCATATGTTGCCTTTATGTTTATGTTTCTTCTATTCTGAGTTTCTTAAGAACTTTGACCATAAAGGGATATTAGACTGATTTGAACCCAACCTATGTGGTTCTGTGGCCATGTCCTGAAACATTAAGAGAATATTTGAAAACTACTGAAAATGTTTCAGTTGCCAGTGAGGATTAATTATTTCTAAATCTAAAGAAGAGTGCCTCATCTTTGGGTACTTTGATTAATACTCCTTAGTCAGCCTTACTGACGACTGTTGGAAATTGGAAAGACTGGGCTAGTTGGAACATGTGATTCCTGAAGTAAGGTGTTCCTTGAGGATGGTAGGAAGTAATGGGAGGTGATGCCAGTACAAACGGCCTAGAGAATTGGAACTAATATGTTCAATTACTTTTCTCCTTCAGACACATTTAATCAAACCAGGCACCAAAATGCTAACATTGCTTCCTGAAGAGAGAAAACCTGGTATTTCTTTTACTCAAAGAAGAGGCACTCGGCAGACCAGTATTGCGTCCTTTGTCACCTTGCAACCAGGTATGGTGACCTGCTTGGGAATCTTATTATCCGAGAAGCAGAACAACTGTGTTCATTTCTCTGTGTTGAAACATTGATGAACTGTAGATGTTGGAGTAATATTATACATGCTTTTATACATGTGCTTTGCTGGTCCTGTTCTGCTCTGTCTAATTTTAAATATTTGTATTCACGAATAGAGCAGTGAGAAAGGGCATACCTGAGAGCTCAGAGCAGGCTGCAGCATCCAGAGCCAGGTTGGGGGAGGGGTGGGCACTGCAGAATGGACCCATTCTTGGTGTCACTCAGGATTGCTGTATAAACGTAATGTGCACTGTTCCTACTCCAAATAAAACTTACACTTTTATTTTATATAACAAGGAAAGGCTCCCAGGGCTACCTCCTAAAAAAAATCAACTTTCCCTAGTTACAAAATCTTGTATGTTTTATATACTCTATGTTGAATTCTAAGAAAATTTGAAGGGGTCTCACAGAACAGTTTCTGCAGGTGTGACTCTAGAGAAGAAAAAAGAATCTACCATTCTGCTTTTTAAAAATTGTATCTTTATATAATTTAGATGGACTGGGAGTTCCGTTTCATTCATCCTTATGGGAGAACAGGGTCCCACACTTCATGAAATGGACTAGCTAAAAACTAGGTAGATTTTAGTTTCTAACTGGTTGATTTAGCATCCTAATATCTTCATTGACTTTCCCATGAAATGTCTGAATTGTGGGAAAACTACATTCTTATTACCAGAAAATTTTAGAGTTTGATAGTGATTTTTTTTTATGACCTTACAAAATATCTGCTGAGAATTTTTTTCTTTTGAGACAGTTTCTCTGTGTAGCTTTGGAACCTGCCCTGCAACTAACTCACTCTGTAGACCAGGTTGGCCTTGAACTCACAGAGATCCACCTGCCTTTGCCTCCCGAGTGCTAGGATTAAAGGCGTATACCACCACTGCCTGGAATGAGAATATTTCCTTATGGATAATATTTGGGTATGTGGTTAGATAGTGGCAGGATCCATTGTTCAATAGAACCACAGTAAATAAAAAAAATCAAAATGTTTTGCTCTGTTAAAAATTATGTAACAAAACCTGAGTTGGAGAGGATGGCCGTGGTCTGACTGACTGTAAACCATACTTGATGTATTGGGTAGTGGTTGGTCCTGTGTTTCAGGAAGGGAATATATGACTCAAGTTTTAAGAGCATTTGGCAGAGAAAAGCAGGATTGAAAACAAGACAATTAGCCATGAAGTTATTTCAAGAGTCTAGAACTCCTATACCTAATAGTTATAGTAACTGATACTAGTTTCAGAAAACCCAACAAAATCCTGCTCCAGGCAGTTTTTTTTTTTAATGTAATTATCTCTCATTTCATTAGGAATGGCAAATGGTAACTGGAAGAGCATTTTATCTTTCAAAGAAAATCAGATCAACAAAGAATGCAAAAGAGCCCAGCTAGACTGTTCGGTCCAGGGATTGGGGAATGAATGCTCGGTATCACCTTTAGCCACTTCAACTCCTGCAGACATCCAGGAAGCTGGACATTCTCCTTCATCTCCCCAGATTTCTGGCTGCCATAGTTTGGAAACACCATCTTTGACTACGATGTCTTTGCCCCAACCTGGCATCCTGATGGGCGCTGGATCAAGTGAAGCCTCCCTGGCTTCTTCCTTTACCCAGTACTTGGAAAGTTCTTGTTTGCAGGACCAAAGAGAGGCCAGGAGAAAAAGGGAATGGCTTCATGGATCTAAGACAGACTGTGCAGGCATGGGAAGTCACATCAGGCCATCTGGTGGTAAATGCTGTCAGCCCTTGGACAAAGCTGAACTGGGGGAAAAGGGGCCTGCCAAGGAAAACAGGAAGGCTCCTGTACATCCTCAAGCCTACAGGTTCGAATCCTGGAGTAGGAAAAAACCACTATTTGTGACAAAAAGCCCTTGTCCTCTTTCTGTGTTTTCCTGGGACAGTGAAAGGAATGACAGGGACTCCTGGAGTCAGCTTTTCACGGAGGATTCCCAAGGCCAGCAGGTCATCGCCCACAACACTAAAATGCCTTTTCAAGATGTAACCAATGTTAGGAATCAAGGCTTGGGGCAGTTTCCTGACAGTCCTCAGACTCAGTGCCAAGATGGGCCTACTCTGTTAGATCTGCAGCCAAACCTGCTCTTTACCCAGGACTCTGAAGGTAATCAGGTTATCAGACACTAGTTCTAAATGTTTTTTCTGGGTGTTTCTTGAAGAGGCAGAGATGGAAGAAAGTAGGGTGGGTCTGGGTAAGAGGAGGTTTAGGTGAGAGGCCATGTGGCATGAAGCAATTGTCATATGGAACATTGTTCTCATGTAAACAAAGCAGGCAGTGTGTGATAGGCAAGCTTTTCCCTCAGGAAGGTGACTGGTACATTCCAGCAGGACAGGACTTATCACCAAAACCATTTCTCAGTTCAGAGAGTTGCTACTCTGTCCTCCATAGGTCTTTTACTTCTAACAGGTATGTGCTCTCTTCACTTCTAGCTGGACCACTCAAGCATATGCTTGGGACCATTATTCCCAACTGCATTTTAAAAGACGCCATCGTCCCTAACCCAGGTGTGTGGAGCTGGCTGGGGGGAAGGCAAATGGCAGATGATCTTTTTGTTTGTTTTTTCGAGACAGGATTTCTTTGTGCAGCTTTGGAGCCTGTCCTGGAACTCTGTAGACAAGGCTGGCCTTGAACTCAGAGATGCGCCTGTCTTTGCCTCCCAAGTGTTAGAATTAAAGGTGTGTACCACCACCACCACCGGCTTTTTTTTTTTATGATGGTTACTATATACATTGTTTTTCTGGGACTGGACAGATGGCTCAGATGTTAGAGTTTGCCAGCCTGGTCTACAGAGTGAGTTCCAGGACAGCCTCCAAAACAATATGGAGAAACCCTATTTAGAAAAACCAAAAACAACTTTTTTTTTTTAATCTTCTCAAATCTGTGCTATGTAACAATCTAACTTTTTTATTATTCTTCCACAAGAAAGAGGGATGTTCCCTTTGGAAAACTATGAATCCAGGTTAATGTCTAGAAAGCTGACTTTAGTGGTAAGTCAAAAAGCAACTTTAAGCTGGATATGGCAATTTAGGAGACACAGGAGTTCCATGAGTTCAAGGCCATCTCAAAGCTACATAGTGAGTACTCGACCAGCCTGAGCTAGGAGGACATTGTATTGGTTTGAAAGAAAATGGCCCCCAAAGGGAGTGGCACTACTAGGAAGCATGGTTATTGGAGGAAGTGTGTTGCTGTGGGGCGGGCTATGAGGTTTCTTTTTCTCAAGCTTTCCTCTGTGTGATTGTGCGTCGACTTCCTGTTGCCCACAAAATGTAGCACCATGTCTGCCTGCTGCCAATCTCCCCAAATGATCATAATGGACTAAACCTCTGAAACTGTAAGCTGCCACCTCAATTAAATGTTTTTATTCATAAAAGAGTTGCTGTGCTCATGGTGTCTCTTCACAGCAATAAAAAAAACCCTAAGACATATATGGCTGAGCAGTGGTGGTGTGAACACCTTTAATCCCAACACTTGGGAGTCAGAGATATGCAGATCTCTTTGAGTTTAAGGTCAGGCCGGCCCACAGAGTGAGTTCTTTAACAGACTTCAAAGCTACAGAGACATTCTACTCGAGAAGAAAAGGCAGCACTATGACTTGTAAGTGCAAGTATATGTGTCATACTAGAGGACAGCTTCCAGGAATTATTTTTCCTTTATATGGATTCCAAACTTGGGTCATCAGGCTTGGGCTGAAAGCATTTTCGCCCCTTCTGAGCCATTTTTTCAGCCCAAGTCAACCTTTTTTTTGAGACAAGGTTACTCTATGTAACAGCCCTAGCTGTCCTGGAACTCACTTTGTAGATAAACCATGCTGGCCTCAAACTCAGAGATCCACCTGCTTCTGCCTTCTTAGTGCTGGGATTAGAGGCATGCAACACCACCGCCTAGCCCCAAAGCAACTTTTTAAAATAGTAACTGGTGTCATTGTCCTGAATTCAACCAAGCACAAATCTGATTTTGCCTGTGTTCTACCCAGAGCACCACTGTTCCTGTAGCAGTTTCTTTACAAGTGTGACATCTGAGGCTTAAATAGCCTCTAGTATGTGCAAACCACATTATGTTATCAAATGGAATTGCTTTTAGGAGTTCTGTGAAATTTTCTATGGGAAGGAAGACAGAAGCCCTTCGAATAAGATGCTCAGGTGTTTTGTCTGAGTTGATGTATGTGTACTTCATATGTGTGCCTGGTACCTACAGGCCAGAAGACTGTCAGATACCTGGGATCAGAAGAACAAATAACTGAACAGCATGTGAGTGCTGGAAATCAAACCTGGTTCTCTGGAATAGCAGCCAATGATCTTTATTTCTGGGTCATTTCTTTAACCCCAAGAAAGTTTCTCCTAAGGCAGTGGTTCTCAACTAGTGGGTCCAACCCCTTTGGGATTGAATATCAGGTATCTGCATATCAGATATTTACATTATGATTCATAACAGTAGCAACAGAATTAATTTTATGGTTGGGGGTCACCACAATATGAGCAACTATATTAAAGGGACACAGTGTTAGGAAAGTTGAGAACCACTGGGCTAAGAGCAAGAAAATAAGTCAGGAGCCTGTTTAAACTCACATACCTTATATTTTAACAGGAGCCCTCCCCCAAAGACTACTGTGGTCAAAACTTAGAGATGGACAAAGAAAATGCACCATTTCTCCAAATCCTTCATTTAATGTCAGGTAGTATTTCAACTCAGACACGCAGTATTCATACCATAGAGAAAGGGCCCTGAGGGCACCTGAGTCATGCATGATGCAGTAAATAAAATCTTGACCCAACCCAGAGAAATCAGTTTCTGTCCTAGAAGAAGGGTGGTATGTCCTTTTCTCTCCCCACTTCTTCCTAGACTTAAGTCCACGGAAGAAAAAAAATTCAACCAGTGGAACTGATGATAGTGAAGCCCTGGAGGGTAGATCTGGTTGTAGTTTTATAAAATATGTTTAAGAAAAAAATAGCCCAGGCCTCCCTGCAGCAGCCAAGTATTAACTGATCCAGGGCCCTGACTGCTATAGCTAAGAGTTTTCGAAAAGGTGATTGCTGGGCATTGGTGTAGGATTGTGATGGAGCAGCATATGATCACCCCTGTGAACATGAACATAACAGCCACTCCCCCTTAGCCTTGTGGTGCTGCAAGGGAGCTGCTGAGTGACAGCTGTGCACAAAGTATCCAGTGAGACCAATCATAGAGTCTAATGCAGTGAACTGTGTCATTCATTTAGGGCCGATTTTCACACAGACTAGGAAAAACAAGAAACTTCAACTCTTAAACAGACACTCCACCCTACCCAATTACCTGTAACAAATGCCTCATCTCAAACCTTAGCTTCTGTCGAGGTTTAAGTGCAAGTAACACAGTCCAGCTCTTCTCTTCCAGCCCAAGCCCTAGCTCGTTGGCAAGACTGTTGCAGACTTCTGAGGCAGAGACATCTGCAGTGAGGAAGGCAGCTATTGAAGGAGTTCAGGAGCATGAGACTGAGCGCAGAGTCAGTGCTGTCAGTTTCCTTTTCTACTGATATCTTCTTCCTTCAGAGCAAACTTCCTCCTAAGGACCTCAGAGATAAGCACAGCAGGGTCTTCTTCCTTCAGTAAACTCCGGCTCCTGGAGACACAACAAGAGCTGTATTTAGGACACACTTTTGCTCTGTTCTGGGCTTTTTCTATGTGCACTTTTTACCTCCTGAATCTTCACAGCTATTCTGTGAAGCAGTTGTCAGTGCATGTTCCCACACCTATGGGAAGATTCAGCACACAAGGACATGGAGTCACAGTCAACCTCTGGCCTTTAAAACCAAGCTGTTTCTTGGGATTGGAGAGATGGCTCAGATACTAAGAACACTAGCTGCTCTTCCAGAGGTCCTGAGTTCAATTCCCAGCAACGACAAGGTGGCTCACAACAATCTATAATGAGATCTGGTGCCTTCTTCTGGCTGGCAGAACACTGTATACATAGCAAACAAATCTTTAAAAAACAAACAAAAAACCCCAAGCTGTTTCTGAACCCTATGTCTTAACTAGAATGTCCATTTTTAAAAATGTATTCTATGTTTGAGTGCTCTGTCTACATGTACATAAGACTGCATGCCAGAAGAGGGCATCAGACCTCATCATACATGGATGTGAGCTGCCATGTGGTTGCTGGAAATGACTCAGGACCTTTGGAAGAGCAGTCGATGCTTTTAACCATTGAGCCATCTCTCCAGTTCCTAGAATGCCTGTTTCTTGATTTCTTTTATTATTATATATATATATAATTTGTTTATTTATTATGAATGCAACACCCTGCCTCCATGCCTACTTGCCAGAAGAGGGCACCAGATCTATTACAGGTGGTTGTGAGCCACCATGTGGTTGCTGGGAATTGAACTCAGGACCTCTGGAAGAGCAGTTGGTGCTCTTAACCTCTGAGCCATCTCTCCAGCTCCAATGCCTGTTTCTTACATGGCTATAAAATATGGGTAAAATGAAGGCCTATCAATTTATTGGAGTTCTGGTCTAATCTCTGGTCAATCTGCAGTAAGTGACTGATGGCTCAGCCATTCTGATCCTTACTAGTTCTGGAGATAAAATATCCTACCAACATTTTCCCTTAAGTGAGCTTTTTTTTTTCTTAATATAAAAATAGCAAAACATTTACATTGTAAGGAACTATGGGAACAAAATGAATTCTAGAGTAGGCACACATTTATCACAGAAAAGGGTTGTGAATGTTGTCTGAAGCTGTTAATGTCTACACATCTCATCAAGGTGTTTACTGATCTTTGAGGCAATACACAGAGACCAACATTGACTTTAAATCTCAAAGTACAAGGAGGATTCTTTGGTGTATCACATTTCTGAACTAATGAGCCAGTCTTAGTCAGTTACTTCTATTAGAGAAAAAGATGCTAGGATATAGTTTAGTCTAAGAAGCCAAGTAACAGAAAGTGACCTGGTGACAAATACTTTCATTTCCAGCACTCAGGGAGCAGAGGCAGAAGGATTCTAAGTTCAAGACCAGCTTGAGCTACAGAGAGATAGACAAGGAGCATGTTTTAGAACACTGACAAGAAGGGCTCAAAGCTCACCAAAAACGAGGTGAAGCAGCAGCTCAATTTGGGGAAGTGAAAGATCAAAGAGCCTTTATGGGCCAGATAGGAAGAGTGACTAGGATAGTTTCTTGCCCAGCACCAACAAGCACAGCTATTATGGGCACCTGCCATCAAGGCCAACCTCCAACTAAGGAGCCCAAGAACAAAGCTCCTCTGTGGAGTGGCTCGGAGTACATTGGAGAAACTGCAAAGTGCAGGTGCTCTCAGGCAGTTCTAGAACTTGTCTGCCAGGAAGCTTCTCAAGGGACTCAGAGAGTAGCCTTACTTCAAACTGTAGGCCTGCTCAGGGCCTGCCCAAATTCCCTTAAGCTTGAACAAAGTCAACCAAAGCTCCATTCTCTGGGCATTCTGATATGTTAAGTTTAATAGACCTTGTTTCAAAAAAATACCAACACCCCAAATTTGAATGGTTTTGATAAGAAGCCAGATTTAAGAACTAATTATGAATCTTAAAAGCTTGGTTCCTAAGCTGGGTGTGGTAGCTTTAGTCCCAGCACTTAGAGCAAGTTCCAGGACAGCCAGGGCTACACAGACAGACCCTGTCTCAAAAACAAAACAGAATGCTTGGTTCTCAAGTCCTGAAACTTGGAGGTTTTGTATTACAGGTATCATACAAGTACAAGTGCCTACAGAAGCCAGGGGTGTAAGATCCCTGGAGCTGGGTTACAGATGGTTGCACTATGGGTACTGGGAATCAAACATTGGTCCTCTGCAAGAGCAGTATGTGCTCTTAACCACTGAGCCATCGTTCTAGCCCCAAACTTTTATTTAAAAAATCTTTTACTTTATGAAATTCTTTCACCAAAAAGTTGACTAGTTTGCGACACCAGTATGTCATAAGATCTCCCAACTTTGAAGGGTAGAGCATGTTGAAACACGGTAGCTAGAAGTATGTAAACTAAAAAGCTATTGAGTTTTGTTTTAAATGTGCATTGGTGTTTTGCCTGCATGTGTCTGTGAGGGTGCAGATCCCCTGTAAATGGAGTTAGACTTGTAAATTGCCATGTGGGAGCTGGGAATTGAACCTGTGTCTCTGGAAGAGGAGCCAATGCTCTTAACCACTGAATTCTCTGTAGCCCCTTAGCTGTTGAGTCTTCATAGTTTGTTGAGGTGATTTAACGGAACAAATGGAAGCTGTGCTTTTCCTCAAACCAGACTCTAGTCAGTCAGCAAGCTTTATGAATGCAGTAATATGATTACTCATCATTAGCCATGAGTGACTAAAAAATCACTAGCGCTCCTGTCAGATACTCACAGGTCTTGGCTCTGTTTTATCCGGTGAAAATCCTTCAGGATGCCCATCATGTCTGCAAAGCTGCTGGCCTTGGACAGAGAGATGCAGTCATCTTCTTCAGATGAGCTGCAGGTAGCTTTGTGTTCTGGTTTGCAACATTCAGGGCTGGCAGAACAAAGCAGGGGGATTGTTGGAAGCTCAGGGACTTCTACTTCAGTCTCCTCAGTGATGTCACTAATGACAAAGGAAGTTGTAGAGTGGAATGAGGATCCAAAGCAAGGCAAAGGAGAAGAGACATTTGAACTTCCTGGAGATAAGAAATCTGGCGTTAATGAAGACGAAGCTGAAAGAGAAAACAATAGATATAATGGACATTGGGCTGCAATGAAGCAATGATCTCACAAACACTGCCTACAGAACACAGCCATTCCCTGAACTCACATTCTGAGAGTGACAAGGGTGGAATTTTCCCCACGTAGGCAGAGAAACACTGACTCTTGTAGTGTCCAGAACAGAAAACCCCATCCCACAAACTCATGAATTCCCAAATGCATAATGGGCTATAGGTTGGCAGCCCTATTTTAAACTGAAGCCCAGCAAGGCCTGCATTTCTTTTTTTTTTTTTTTTTTTTTTTTGGTTTTTACGAGACAGGGTTTCTCTGTATTGTTTTGGAGGCTATCGGTCCAGCCCAGCCTCAAACTCACAGAGATCCGCCTGCCTCTGCCTCCCGAGTGCTGGGATTAAAGGCGTGCGTCACCACCGCCAGGCTGGGCCTGCATTTCTTAATTTGTCATTTTCTCAACTGTGACAGTGTTTCAACTTGATATTTTGAATTTTGCTATCTATGATCGTGAAGCGCTCTAGACAAAACTTCCAAGTTTTAATTGAGACAACTGTCTTTAGAGTTCCTAAGAAATGATAGTGATCTTTTCATATTCTGTGGCTTAATTTTCTAAATAAAGTATTGCATTCATTTATTGGATGTTTGTGGGTACAGGTTTACGACAGAATAGTCAGAAAACAACTTTCAGGAGTCTGTTCTTTGCTCTACCGTGTGGGTCCAAGGGATGGAACTCAGGTAGACAGACTTAGTGGCAAGTGCCTTTACTGTCTGAGCCCCCCACACTACAACTTTTATGTGCTCTACTAGCTGGTAAGGGTTAGGAGCTGTGTCTTTAAGCCACTGAGTATCTTGGGGGAGATCTACCTATTGGTTGTCTATGCCTCTGGTTAAGGAAGCCCTCTCTCTGTCTATTTAAGGCTCTGCTTTAATTGTATGCAGAAAGCTGCAGAGAGTAGTATTCTCTGATAGAACGGACAAGGAGAGGGAGATAGGTAATTAAGGGTATATGTTTCGTGGTGCTGGTCAGGAATGCTTATATTGAAAAGTGGGTTCTTTGGGTTAATGGGATATGTAATATTAAAGATGGTTGTAAAGGTAGTATTAGCTTTTGTGGCTAAGAGAAGGAATTTGTTCAATGTCACTGGAATGACTAGTGGACATTTTCTAAAGGCTATTACAGGATATCTGGGTCTCAATAAAGCCCTTGGACTAAGTCTTCCTGAATCAGAGACTATAATTTTTCTCATCCTTACCTTGCTCAATAACCAGGGGAAAGGACAGCCTGCTATACTCTACCCTCAGTGGGACTCTTACCTGCATCTGCCGCTACTATTTTAGCAATCTGGCTGCGCAAGTGGCTTAGTTCATCCTGCAGCTCAGTGGTTCGGCTTAGGGCAGGTAGAGCTGGCTTCTTCAGGGCCAAGAGCCTCTCCTCAGACCCTCGAAGATTGGGCACTGAGGCATTACGTTGCATAACAATCAAAGGGCTGGGCTTCCAGGTGTGTCTTAGGGGACGCGTATCGCTCCTGAGCCAGAAAAAGAAAAGTGTCTTACTAGAGACAGTTGTATCCCTGATTAAATTCCTTTGTACCACAGGTTCTACTACTACTTCCCTTTAAGCCCATAGCTCTCATTCCTATTGGCCTCAGCCTCTCATAAACACCCTTCTTGCTGATGCCACTTCTGGGAGACACTCCTCATCACCAGCAAAGCAGCTTTTGCCTCAGCTACCTGACCCGAGCATATGTTTCCTCTTCATCTGCAGCAATCCAGGCAATGTCAGCCAGAGTAGGGACTGGAGGTACATCTCTTAAACACAGGTCAGAAATGTTGGGCAGAGTCTGTAGGAAAGCAAATTAAACATTTATACAACATGATGAGAACTAATCAAATTAATGCAAAATGGGACACCTAATCCAGCACCAAGTAAGGAAAGCTTCCTAGAGTAAGGAGAAAGCTTCCTGGCTACAAATCAGGCAATTTAATGAGACTGGCTTGAATCCCCCTACCCTTAGTGCGTATGGATGTTTTGCCTGCATGTATATCTGTGTGCCATGTGCATGCTTGGTGCCCACGTATGCCAGAAAAGGGTGTCAGATCTTCTAAAATTGGATTTACAGGCAGCTGTGAGCTGTGATGTAGGTGCTGGGAATCAGACTAGGGTCCCCTGGAAGAGCAGTATACTAAATGTTAATAGTACTCATATACACTCCTTTGAAGAGCCTGTGTCCTTAATTGTCTTTGTTCAGCAGCATCTAGACAATGGGTATGGGGAAACTTGCAGTCACATTTCACAACTTTATTTCCCCTTGTTTCTGATGTTTCTGAGTACCCAGGTCCTTCCAATGTTCTTTTGACAGCTCTGGATAGTGTGCAGTAATGAGACCCTATTCCCTTAACTGCACACTTCTAATCTCAATCCTGCCTCCTAACACCAACCCTGATCCCACTTCTAACTCCAGATTCAGTTTCTACACAGACTGCAGCTAATGTAGATAGATCGATCGATAGATAGATAGATAGATAGCTGCAGTCTATGTACACACACGTTTGGGCCCATGTTCTTTCATGCATGTGTTTCTACCTCCTCTATGCCACAATGCTTTCATGCCTGTTTCCCATACTCCCACCCTAGCCATCTAACACAGAGCTGATGCCTCACCAGGAGTTTTTTTTTTTCCCCCTCTGAGACTGGGTTTCTGTGTAGATCTAGCTGTCCTAGAACTCCGCTGTGTAGACAGGGCCTGCCTCTACAAGTGCTGGAATTAAAGACAGATTACCACCACCCAGCATCACCAGGAGCTTTTAATGGAGGCATTTGGCTCAAATGAACATTATTTCATTTTCTACTACAGAAGCAGGTCTCAGAGACCTAGTCAAGACAGGAATCTCTGCTGTAGAGTGGATGCTAAAGCCTCTATAGACCCAGGTCAGCCTGTCAAGCAGGCAGTAATACAGTGGCCATATTTGGACAGAAAAAGAAGGATGGGGATTTGAGGCCACAGAGAAACACTAAAAATAGAGGCTAAGTGGCTCACTCATAAGGCTGATGAGAAAAGCAGGTCTACTCAAGAGTCACAGCACTCATGCACAAATGCCTCAGAGCTCTGATGTAAATCATCGGAAGATTTGGTTTAGCAAAGGCTTTCTGGCCTGCTCTGATAAAATGCATGGCTAGAAGCTTATAAAAACTGAGTCACTTAGCAGCAGCAACAAAAGATAAGATGAAAGACTATCAATTTATGAGCAAGCTGGAAGTCTGACTGTTGTGATCACATGTCTGTACACAATCAGAAAGGCACAATGTCCAGGATCTATTATATAAGCACTTAGGAAATGAAAAAATGACCAGGCAAAGTGGGCAGAAGCCTTGGCAACTAGCAAGATGCCTTCTGCACAGAAGTAGCATCCGCCTTCCATACTCTGAACCTTTACTTGACCCTTCCAGTACACTCACCTCAAAGGATGCACGGGGACAAGGTTTCAGGGGTAGATTGGTCCCAATTCTTCTTACCACACTCCGAGCAGCCCCATGTGGCTTGTTTTGCCAGATTGGGACAGTCTAGAGAAGAGACAGACAACCCAAAATCCTCAGAGTAGTCTTACTACTGTTCCCTTGCCTTCCCTTCTCCTCTGGAGGTGAGTCAAGTCAATTGTAAGGACCAGTTTCTACACCTGGTGCTGCTAAAGTCAGTGGTTGCGAGGGTTCAGAGAAGGAACCAGAATTAGCTGGTGGTATGGACTATTCTGGTTACCTCATGTTCTTTTGCACAAAAAATTAAAAAAAAAAACATGGACTCAAGAAGTGTACCAAAAAGGAAGTAGGATGACAGTTGTTCAAATCCCAGGGCTTCAGTGAAAATAAGAAATGAACTGGCATCTCAGGGCCTTGTATAGTTCTCCAGCAAGTTCAGTACTCAGCTCTCTAACCCTGTCTTGGGACTCCTTACCACATTGGCTTCCATCCCTGATGTTCAGCCAGCTCCTGCACTTGAAGGACAAGGCACCCACCGGACAGCTTGGGAAAGCTGGGGGTATGACTCCTTCATATCAGGCCATTCCTGAGAACATGAGATCTTTCCTGTGAAACAAACATCAGAGAGGAGGGACTTGGTGGTCATTAAACCTCTAAACAAACCTCTGCAAAGCCACTGCTAAAACCATCTTCAATGTGTAAAAGAAGAAAACTAGTCCAAGGGCTGCCCTTATCACTGGCTTTTCTAAACCCAGATTTCCTGAGAAAGCTTGGCCAACCCAGGGAAACCTCTAGCTCTGAGATGAACTGAGGTAAAGCCTCAAAGATGCAAATAGAACCCTTTGGTAGTTACACAGCTCAGAGGAAAGCAAAACCTGAGGTACCATCCAAGCCCAAGCATTTATTCTTGAAAATAGAAGTGGGTAAGAATCAACAGCCAACTCATGCTAATTTCAGTCTACTGGGCTACAGAGAAAGGAGATTTAAATGGTTGTAATGCATCACCCTACCCTCAACTGCAAACATTCTGTCACAGAACCACACCTCCAGCCCCAAGAGCTTTTTTTTTTTTTTTTTAAATATTGGCTTAGTCTTCTATGGCTGTGTCTCAATGTTTCTGAATGCTGGTTTTACTGGTTTCTTCATTTGTAAAATGGGGAAAAGAAAATCTAACACTTGCTGGGCAGTAGTGGCACATGCCTTAAGTCCCAGCACTTGGGAGGCAGAGGATCTCTGAGTTCAAGGCCAGCCTGGTCTACAGAGCAAGTTTCAGGGTAGCCAGAGCTGTAACACAGAGAAAGCCTGTCTCAAAAAAAAAAAAAAAAAAAAAACAACAACAAAAAACAAGAGAAAACTGCCACTCTAGGCTACCCTAAAGGTTGGTGAAATTGGAGTAAGTGGGTGAAGTGCATAATGAAATTTAAGAGTTCCTCATGAGTGTTATTGTAAAAACTCGTTTCTCAGGTTAACATACAAAGCAGTATTCCTGACTGTACTCTTCACAGCTACCCTGGCATGGACTGAGTTCAATCTTCGTGCTTTATGTCTGTCAAACACCAAGAATACACATTTTTGTAAGGAAGGTGGGGCATCATTAAGAGGTGTACTAGGCAGGTGGGCATGAGTTGACTTCAGTCCAAGACCATGTTGAGTTTGGAGAGAGTAGGAGACGGACTTGTAATACAACACAGTATCCTAAGCCATTGCAAAAGGTAACAAGGGTCTTGTCATGAGGGCTTGCAGTGCCTGGGTGAGAAGTCACTGGGGAACCCAAGTCTGGTGCTGAACAGGGATGAGCTGATTTGACGAACAGTATCTCTTAAGGGAGATCTGGAGTTCCTCTTCTACCTTAACAGAGTTGTCACCTTATGATACACACGGAGAAAGGAAAGGACTTGTCTGGCCAGCCACTCAGTGGCTTTACAGAAGACAGTGCCCAAAGTCTGGGCTAGGTTCTGGGATGTCCCCGTGTGTCAGCCTTCTTGCTGAATGCCATCTGTGTTACTCCTGTCTTGCTTCATCTCCAGAAACTCCAACTGAATCTATTCCTCAGGCAAAGGCAGATTTTATAAACTGCTCCTTCTATTACTCTGGTGTTTAAATCGTTCAGCTCTCTTCTAGACTGTACAGCCCTCCTGCCATCAGGGTCTACCAAATGGCTGGACCCCGTCTTCCGGCTCTCTCCACACCAAGCTCTAATACTGTTAGGCTAGTGCACGCTTTGCCCTGGGCCACACGGCTACCCGGCTAGCAGCTCCCAACACTTGCCCCCTCTGAGCCCTCGTCCATACCATTGCCTCCGCGGGACCCGGCAGAACCCTTACCCAGCTCATCCCAGTCCTTCAGCGCTAAACTCATGTATCCCGCCGGGTCCTCACTTCATCCCGTAGCCGCCTGGGTTGCCTTCCGAGGCCGCTCAAGACAGAAAGGAAGTAACCAATCCCGCACAGCGCGGCCTTTGCCAGGCACCGCAAGCGCTCAGCTGTAAGGCAGCAACTTCGCTCCGAGGCCCCGCCCCCCGCGTGCCCGCTAGCCGCTCGGGCCGGCTCCGCAGCCCCGGGTCTCCGCACCTCGGCGCCGCCGCAGCCCCTTCCGCGGTGCCAGTGGACGCGTCTTTACGCGCCGTCTCTCTCGGCAGACCCGCTCCGCTCCCAGGAGGGCCCCGGCCCGGCAGTCCCGGGCCAGAGAGAAACTTTGCCCAGCGGGGCCCGGCGGACACCCGCGCCGAGTGCGCGAGGGTCCCACGGCCAGCAGAGGTAACGCCTCGCGTCCTCAACGACGCGGCCCCCGCCCCCGCCCCCGCGAAGGCGGCCCGGGCAACGCCAAGGTCGGCCGAGTCCTCGCCGCGCGTCCGGCGGCCCTTGGACCCGCGGGCCCGGCCGGGCCGGTGCCTCCGGGCCGGTGCAGTCCCAGAAACGCCACGCGCCCAGGCGCGAAGCCTGGGGTCGCACTCTAACGGCTGGGTCGACCCCAACGGCGGGTGACTTGGCTGGCACCCTCGGGACTAGTGTTCCCACCAAGGGGGGGCAGACGGCGGCGCCTCCCGCGAGACCTCGCACGAGAACAGCAATCACGCGCTCCCCCTGCGCAGGGACGGAGGCGCTGGCAGGGGACCGGCGGCGGCGGCCACCCCGCCTGCTGGCCCTCAGCACCCGGCGTTGGGCTCACCTCAGACTCAAGCTCCGGACTTACCTCAGCCCCTCCTACTACAGCGGGCGGCCGAGCCTCAAACGTCACTTCCGCTGACCCGCCTCCGGAAGCAATGGTTCGCAGCTGCGTACCACGCCGTACGCCCAGGAGAGGCGGGCTTAACAAGGGGCCGGGAGCGGACGCGGCCTCTGAGTGGGCGGCACAGCCGAGAGGCCACACCCCTTTACAGGCCCCGCCCCGTACGAGGGTAGCTCCGCTCTTAGAGCGTTGATCCTGTGCTCTCAGCCTGTCGATATGCGTTCTTGTTGCTTCCCACATTTATTCTCTACAAATTTCTGGACAGCGGTGGTCTGCCTGTGTTGCGGTTCAGCACCTACTATAGTTGGTGTCGTCCTTACTGCTGCAAGTCTCCGAATCCTCGTCTTGGCATTTCTGCCTTTCTTGACCCATTTCTTGGTTCCCTGACACAGTCCCCAGCAAAAATGGCTGCTTTCGCCTTTGACGCACACCCTCCAGTGCTTCGGAGTAGCTTTCTTCTGTTTAAGAGCTCGCTGCCTCACACGAATGGATACACGTACACACACGTGCTGCATAATTCAGTTTGTGGATTAGATGTGTGGATTGATGACACCGGGAGACTCCTTCCAAGCTCACGCTGCTGGTATCCATGGCATCTAGTTAATGGGACACACTTGATTTTCTGCCCTTAGTACATGGCTTTGCCTGACTCACCAGTTGCATTGCCTTGGTCCCAAAGCCAGCAATCCCCATCTGCCAGGGACAAATCTGTTGGCTTCGTGGGTGGACAGCCCAATGCAGTCACAATGGGCACTACGCCCAGCCTTGCCTTACTACGCCCAAGTATGCTTTCTCTTTTGTTGTCCTCTTGAAATTACAGCTGTGCATTGCTGAAGAAAGGGTGCTCTCTGAGGAATGTGTCCTTAGGTGACTGAGTTATGCAAACATTACATAGAGTGTACTTGCACACACCTACATAATGTAGTGTACTATACACCTAGAGGAACTGGTGTAGCTTATTGCTCCAGGTTGCAAACCTGCATAGCTGCTACTGGTGCAGAATCCCAGGGCAGCTGTATCAAAATCGTAAACATTTACATCTAAACACAGATGGGGCACCATTCAAGTTCTAGGTAACAGGAAATTCTCAGTGCCATTGATTGCAGGACATGACTGCCACACAGCCTCTCAGTGACAAAGCCATCACCGCGGAGCGCCTGACTAAATACGTCTTACATTTTTCTCGCACTTGTCTCCATGAGATAGGTAGTGATTATAACCCATCCCTACCTGGAAACTGACTTTACCTCACCACACTAGTCAGTGATTCAAGTACAAAAGGCTGGTTTGACTCTGCAGCGTGGTTCGTGTCCCAGAGCCGCCCTCTGTGGAAGGCTAGGTGTTGGTTGACACTCTGGAACTCCATGTTTTCCTTGCCCTCTTCTGACTCAAGCCTTCTTTTTACAGGTCTTCCTTCTCCTCACATCCTCCCCGCCATGTGTGTGCGTCATGGAGCCCATGTGGAGAGCAAAGCTAACTAGGAACTGACTGACCTCAGGTTATCTTGATCCCGCCACCCCTACAGGTGCATTTCCTCACATAACTACCTCTGACATGGGCTCTGCTTCTAAGACAACTGCTTTAACTTTAGGACCACTCTCCACACAAAGTTCCAGATTCTTTGGTATATTTTATCGTTCTATTACAAACTCACCTTAGGCAAGTCACTCAAGCCCTCTGCTGACAGGCAAGGCTCCAAAGACAGTTCAGCTCAAATATGTCCATCCTTGCCCATCTCCCAATAGGGAAAGCAGCAGTCAGACAGCGGAAGGACGAAACCAAACTCCCTTAGACGCTCCAATTTTATTACAGGACATGCTGGGGATGGGAGCAGAGGGGTGACAAGACGCAGCTGGGGTGTGCAGAGGCATCATTGAAGACTCAGAACGCCTCAGCAATCAGTACTTTACATAGGACCAGTAAAGTGTGGAGTCCACTCTGGCTGTTCTGAGGCTGGGTGGCACATATACATCCCGCCTATGAGGTGGCAGAGGCACCGTGAAGCACTCAGGTCCCTTCCATTTCTGTAGGGCTCATACCTAAGATAGAGAACCTGGTAGAGCTATTGACACCTGCTCTATTTGGCCATATCATGAATCATGATTTTTATTTTTTGAGACAGGGTTTCTCTGTGTAGCTTTGGAGCCTGACCTGGAAGTAGACCAGGCTGGCCTTGAACTCACAGATTTCCACCTGCCTCTGTCTCTGTGCTAGGACTAAAGGTGTGCACCACCACCTACAGGAGTCACGATTTTAAAGGATTTCCTTGCCACCACAGGGGGAAGTCAGTAGGGGTGCTGTGTCAAACAAAGCACCCCCCAACCCAAAACAGCCTTCGGAGTCACGTGGGTTTGATTCACAACGCCAGGACTCTGAGTGATCCTGGAAAATCACTTTGCTTCCCTAAGACTCCAGTGTCTTGGTTTGAAAATGGGGGCGATTTTCCAATTCACTGCTTTGTTGTGAGAACTAAATGAGAAAACAGGTGTGATCTCTGCAAGGCATCCCAGAGACTGTGAGGTGGGCTCTGTGGGGTGACTCCGCAGTGGACAGGGGAGCTGGGCTCAGGGAACAGGCACCTGCCTTCCTCCTCTGCCCGCTTGAAGACTGAGCTCCCGGCCGGCCGGGCAGGACAAAGAGCAGGGCACATGGGGAAGCAGCTGATGTCAAGAAGGCCGTAATGAGATTACGGCCAAGGCAGGCCTTGGGCGTGTGACGCGCAGAACAGAGCTGAGGAAATGCTGACCCTTGGAAGACTCCTTGTAGAAAACGTGGAAGAGAAAGAAGATGGGCACATTTTCCCCCATGTGCAGCTGCGAGGACATCAGGCAGGATCCATCTGCGATTTCAGACCCAGCCATCATGCGGCTGCTGCGGGGGGAGCCACTGCTCCCCTTCTTTCTCCTCAGTGTTCAGATTTCTGAAAAAAATCTATAAACTATATAGATTCATATAAAACACTTTTCTGTGTGCATAAAAAAGACTGGCCATAGTCAGTGGTTCAGGATGTGGACCAAGTCCCTAAACGTGGCCAAGGGGAACTGGTGGTCACTTAGTGGCAAATGGGTGTGTCCAGCGTACCTTGGGGGCCTAGACTGTGCGGCTGTGATCTTTGGCTGGGCTACACTTCTGTGGAGTAGGGGTCAGGGCAGGAAGTGTTCTGAAGACACTGGCCCCAACAGACCCATCATGAACCTATGCTGGGGCAGGCAGCCGGGCCGCGCCCCCAGAACCCCATTGCCGAAGTACAACTTCCTTCACAGTGAACGTCTCCAACCCCAGACAGGGCTGGGCTTGGGCCACCAGGTCCATGACGTGCCCTGAAGGGTGGCAGAGGGACAATGTGGTCTCCACTTCTGTAAAGGGCTCTGTGCAAGGCCCCCCACAGCTGTCTCCAGCTCACAATGACCCCAAGCTGTGGGCACTGGCCACAGAAAGCTGCCCGGGGGATGGCCAGGATAGAAGGCTTCAAACAGGCATGGGGCTGGCAGCCTGGCCCCCAGGCCCAAGCTCTTGGATTCCTTTGGCTTGAGAGGGGAGTCTGTCTTTCCAGCCTATTTCTTCACGCTGAGGACCTGAACTCTATCACTGTGTGTGGAAGGTCCAGGGAGATCACCCCAGAATGTTGGGGGGCACTTGAGCTGATAGAAGTGGCAGGCCTTTGGCAAATTTACACCCTTATCCAGGCCCCTTCATCTATCCATCATTCAGGCTAAGTGAAGGGAGCATCCTCAGTTAGCTTTGGGGCTCTCTAGGCAGTCTGGGAATGAGGTGGGAACCATTTCCAGTGTGAAATGGACAGAGGGCACTGTGACTCCAGGACGTGTGGAGACACAGTGCCTGTCTCACCAGGTCCAGTTTCTCTAGGACTAAGCACGTTAGGGCTCGAGGAGGGGCAGGCCACGCCGGAGTCCCTCCCTCAGGAACTGCATGTAGGTGGCTGTGGATGGGTCCTCAAAGGTCGATGAGAAGCTGAACACCTTGTTGTCTATGTCTTCAGGCTTCATGGAGGTGATGTCCAGGAAGTAGTTGGCGTTGATGTGATGGACCTGGGGGAAGGGCTGGGTGAGGAGAACTGGGGAGGCCAGAGGCTATGTCTGCCTAAGCCATGGCAGCCTCCATCAGCTTCACTCGGTGAGGTCAGACAGCTAACACTGATCACACTGGCGAGTGCTGCCCAGGCCAGGCTGTTCCCTTCTCCCTCAGCTCCCAAGTAGGCCTCTTCTGAGGGAGAGCCTCCCTGCCTTGCTCACTGAGCAAAAACCCACCTTTTTCTTCTACTATGCCTTACAAATGGCCTTCCTTCTGTTGTCATGACCCCTGAATACCTATCCCAATGCCCAGTGCTCAGTGTGATTTCTTAGATTCTCTCTACTCTAGGCAGAATGCCCCCACGTCCTTGCCTTTCTGCAGAGCGTGGGGGAGTGGGTATGCAGGGGATGAATAGATTGTGAAGCATGGATGAGGAGACTAAGCAATGGAGGAGATGAAAGCCAGTCAGAGCCTCCTAAAGCCCTGTCTCCTTGTCTTCAGGTCCTCAGGGTAGGCTCCACAGGGTAGGAGCCAGTAACAAGCATGAGCCACCTGACTGTCCCTCCAGGCTTGTACTACCTGGGTCCCCAACACTTCCTGGGCTCTTCTCACCTGAGCCTGGGCCAGCAGAAGCCTTAAGCACACTGTCCTTTTCCCTCCATGGAGCCCCAGCTCCTGCTCCTGACTACTGCCTCCTACAGGCTGGCCAGCTCACCACCCTCCTGTAACCCTGTGTTTCCCCTCTGGCCACACTGATATTGAAGACGGGCATTTGCTCAGAGTTGTAGTCTGGCTCTGCGAGTCTGAAAACGGGCATGCTTTCCAAGCTACTGTGACCTGATGCCAGGCCCTGTAAGTAGCCCTCGGGGAGAGGGGATCTGGAATGTTGGCCCAGGCCAGGCCCTCCTCTACTCCTCTACTCCTCTACCTCCCCTAGCTACAGGGGTCCAGCAAGCCTTCCCTAGGGCCATGCTTTGTCCACTGAACGGATGAGGTTGCCATGGGGACATGTTGACTCTGTTGCTGTACTGAGTGCTTTGCTGCCCCCCCCACTGTCCCACCCCATCCCACTCCCACCCCTCCCCCCAAAGCGCTTCCAGGATCTCCTGCTCAGGGTCCCTATGCCAGTGATGGAGGTGACAGCTTCAGACCAGCCCAGGGGAGACCACCCCTTGTGTCCCTCTGTCCCCCAGGACCTACCACAGTGCCATTGGGCAGGCAGATCATCATCTCCACAGGGAAGCTGTACTTCTCCAGATGCAAGCCTGCCAGCTTTCTGTGGACTGGGTTCTCCTGCTGGCTCTGTGGGGACAATGATATTTCCTGCGACCCGGGCCTAGTGCCGTCCTGGGGCACTCCACTGGCCGCTCCCCCCTGACCCCCTGCTCACCTGCAGGTCTTCTAGTTCCTTTACCAGGGACCAGGTACTGATGAAGCTCTCATTGAGGAGCGTAAGGATGGGCGGGCTTTCCAGGACGGTCTCCCGGAGAGTCCGCCCCGAACCTGTCCAGGGCAAGGTCAAGGGTGAGAAACCCTGATCTTACAGCAATGACCTCAGTTTGGGTAAACCCTGTGGGCTGCAGAACGTCTCTGCACCCAGGTGAAATAACAGGTTGAAAGAGTAGATACTATCCAGGAATGGTGGCACACACCTGTATCCTAGCACTTAGGAGCCTGAGGCAGGAGGATTACTATGAATTGAAGGCCAGCCTGGGCTACATGATGAGTGAGTTATATGCTAGCTTGGGGTACTGAGTGAGACCTTATCTCAAGAAACCACACAGATCCCCAAGGAGTAGGTGCTACATGTGGAGGGATCAACATGAACATACTGGCAGCCTGGGCCAAGGCCCTGGTGGCTGGGAGCTTGTTAGCAGCAATGACTTCTCAATCCCGCTTAGTTCTCTGTCTCTAGGGCTTTTACACAGGCACTCTCTCTACCTCAAACTCTCTTCTCCCTGTCACGTGACTAAGCCTCTATATATCTCTCAGAGTCTCAGTTTAAAAGTCACTTTCTCCAAGAAGCCTTCCAACTGTCCCTACTCCCTCCTCCCCCTGCCCCTTCGCTTCTGTTAATTCACTTTGAACTAACTGTTGGACCCCCAGAGAACTTTCCAGAAGGCCTTTGGTGACTATTCTGGATAAGAAATCCAAGCCCAGCTTCTGGCACTCTTTCTTCTCTCACTCAGAGGTTTTACTTTACAGAGTACAAGATACATTGGCACCCAATGCCATGACTTGGGAGTCAGTACACTCTGCCCATTTCACTGTGGAGGGAATGGGTTCAGAGGGGAAGTTGCTTGGTCAAATTAACTAAACAAAAATGGCCGAATATGAACACATCTGCTTGGCCTTTTCTTTCACACTTAGCATCACTTTCTAGACTCAGTCCAAGCACAGCAAACCTCTTTGGGATCTGGTCCTAGGTGGCCCAGGTCCTCATGGCTCCAAGCCCTGGTTGTCCCAGAGCCTGTTGTGACCAATTTCCTTAGGGTATGAAATTCACACTTTCCCTTAGAGCTGACCAGGGGTTCCCTCACCTCAGCAGGACTGGTCATCCAGGGCCCCCCACAGCAAGATGGAATGCACAAGTTTGTTCTCGGCCTTGGCTCTGTCAAAGGCCTCTGTGAATGGCAGGTAGCTGACCTGTGGTCAAACCAAGACAGAAACCACTCAGTGGCTGGGGTCCTATTTGGGGTTGTACATGTGAAACACATATTTATCCATGTGTGTATGTATGTGTGTGTGTGTGTGTGTCTGTGTGTGTCTGTGTGAGTGTCTGTGTGTGTATGTGTCTGTGTCTGTGTGTCTGTGTGTGTATATGTCTGTGTCTGTGTGTCTGTGTGTGTGTGTATGTGTGTGTCTGTGTCTGTGTGTGAGTGTCTGTGTGTGTATCTGTGTGTGTGTCTGTGTGTGTGTGTGTCTGCGTGTGTGTAAGTTTAGAATAGGAGCGAGAGCCCCACTCCCAAGCTGGCCCTGAGCCCCAGAGGTCCAGCATAGTGCCCACAGCTAGACCACAGCCCAGCCTGGCCTCGTGGAGCCCTGCCCTGGCCTTCACGCCCAGCCTCACCTTCTTGAAGGGGTACATGGCCACCTCCAGGCGCCCGGCAGCTTCCTCCCAGCTCAGCTCCTGGTGCCACTTGATCTCCTCAAACACAAACTGGAGGGGTTCTCCCGAGGGCAGGCGGCTGTCAATCATGTTGCCATCCTCATCCAGGATCACAGAGGGCACTGAGGGGCCCGTGGCTTCCAGCTCCATCTGGGCCAGAAGTCAGTGGTGAGGGGTGTCTCAGAGAGGGGTGGTCTACTCTGCAGAAGTGGGGAGCCGGGGCTCAGGGCAGGGCTTTGCAGCTGAGTGTATCTGGGTCAGGGCTCCTGAGTGTTCACCTGGGGTATGTAGCCGATGTCCACCTCCATGTTGCTGGTCTCACTGGCCCCATACAGCCACTCCATGTCAACATTCAGGGACCTGAAGATGGCCAGGGAAAAAAAGTCACCATCAAAGCCCATTAGTCACACATCAGACGCCATCTATTTTTCTTTTCTTTTCTTTTTTCTTTTTTTGAGACAGCTTTTCTTTGTGTAGCTTTGGAGGCTGTCCTGGAACTTGCTCTGTAGACCAGGCTGGCCTCGAACTCACAGAGATCTATCTACCTCTGCCTCCTGAGTGCTGGGATTAAAGGTGTGCGCCACCACCATCCAACTGGTGCCATCTAATTTCATCAGGCAGTTGTCCTATTAACAGATGGAGACACCGAGACTCCATAGATGTCACTGGGATTTTGACAGTTAGGCCTAGACAGTTCACAGAGCGTTCATAACGTGACCCATAGACTGCTCACGACCCTATGCGCAGAGAGGTGGCCAGTGCCTCTCTTCAGGACACAGGATGAGGCAGCAATAAGAAGAACCCAGTTGGTGCTGAGGTCCCTGGAAGAATCTCCCAGGCTGGCTCTTGCCTGCAGAGGGCAGCAGTCTGGCTTGGTCGGTGCAATCTGAAGGTCTACCACACGGGGGAGCCCCAGGATCACTGCCAAGCAATAGTCTACACAAGTGACTGAATACCCTCAGTGCTGCCCTGAGGCCTGGTTCTTAGACACAGTCCCAGAAGGAATAGATCCTACCTGGTCATATACCTCCTGTTATTCAGTCCAGGACATGGAAACAGGTACACTGAGGCCAGCTACCACCCCACTGGCAAAACTCACGAGGGCAGGTGTACTGCTGTGTCTCTCTTACAGTGGGTTCAGGCACTCCCAACCATGGTTACCCCTGCTCCATGGGTGAAACAGGCCAGGAGTCAGTCTTCTATCTGGAAGGCGAGGGAACTGGGGCCCAGAGGCCAGGACCTTGCCCACAGCCACACAGCCCATTGCTACCAAGAGCAAGTTTTGAATTGGGGCCTCAGGACCCCTAGCTCAGGTCTAAGCCTTACACAGGTTCTCATGAGCCGGCTAAAAGCTTGCTTGCTATCTGGGAAGACTCTACGGAAACCATCCCCCTCACCTCCCCCACCCCAAGCCCCCTGATCTGCTGATGTGGCTGATGGGGCAAACAGCTGGCACAGGGCTGTCCCAGAAGTCCCATCAAGACTGTGGTGACCACCTTCTCTCAAGCCTTAACATGTGCCACTTCCTGCACTCCCCAAGGGCCTGACCTCGATGTCACCTCTCTGGGAAGCCTTCCTGGACTCCCATGGGCTCTGCCCTGATGCCGACCTTCCCCTCAGTGGCACAAGTAAGTCAGGTTGGGCTGTCTTAGGAGGATAAGGTGTAGCAGCTTCAGGGAGGGCTTACTGGCGACTATGGGACCGTGAAGACCCTAGGCGGCTTGTTGGGCTCTAGGGCCTCGATCTGTAAACTGTTAGCTCCCCACAAAGGTGGAAGGAGTGCCTGGAGATGTTCTTGAGTAGATAGTGGGACCACTTAGCTACCTCACTGCCTATTCTTGGTCAGCAACAAGTCCGTGCACCCCTCCCCCCAAGCGGTGGTGCGTAAGAGCAAGGGAAACGGCAGAGACTGAAGGGTCTCTGGCTCCTTGCTGTCTGAGCTCAGGGAGCAGGAAGACAGTTGCAGCAGCAGGGTGTGGAGGCTGTGCGGAGGTGTGCTTCCCCGTACACAGGGGTGGGGGGGAGTGAGGGGTGGGGGGGAGTGGGGGTGGGGGAGTGGGGGGTTGGGGGAAGCTCCTACCTGTGATTGGGCACGAAGAGCCGGAAGTCACGAATGTGTGTAGCATCTTTGGACAGGATGATATGGCCAGTGAACTGGCCTGGAGAGAACCAGAAGGGGAAATCAGGCGGCTCGCTGAGCTGGAACTCGGCGTGGATCCTGTGGGGAATGGGGGTTGTTAAGCCTGGACCCCTCCCCCAAGCCCCCCAGAGCCTATGGAGCCTTGGCCAAACTCCTGTGGGGTCAGGGGCAGGAAGAAAGCAGGACACACTTCAAATGCCACTACTCTTGAAGCCTCAGTCTCTGTGCTGCCTTTCTTGGAAGTCTTGCCCTGACCCTCTCCTGTCAACATCCTTTTCCAGGAAGGGTGCGTGTGCATGTGCGTGTGCCTGTGTATGTGTGTGCACACATGTGTCTGTGTGTGCAAGTCCCATACCCACCCCGTGTGGATGATACCACCCTGGCCACCAGCCAGATCCAGTTCTAGAGCTAAGCAAGTTCCAGACACCCCTCACCAAACTGTATGCCCTCTGAGGAAGTCATTACTCCCCTGACCCACCGAGGAGGAAACCAGGGCTCAGAGAGCATCAGTCCACAAGGAGGGTCAATGACCAGGCCTTCTCTTACCCTTCCAAGCATGGTGACACTCACCGGAACATCACAGTGTAGTAGGAGTCGCTGATGGCAGTTAGGCAGGCCACGGTGCCCTGAGGGGCAAAGCGGGTCTTCACGAAGGGGCGTGGGTGGAACATGCTCAGTAGCCGGTGGATGATGACCTAGGGACAGCAGTGAGACCTCAGCTGGCTTGTTGGACCCTGGGGCCTAGATCTGTAAGCTGAGGCCCAGAGGGAGGGAGGCTGGGGGGGTGCATGGTACTGGGGTCCAGGTTCAGATAGGAAGGGCCGCTCCTGAGCTGGGGCGAGGTGTGGCCTGCATCTCCTTACCTCCTTGTCCTTGGGTGGCGGTGGGTAGAAGCGGTTGTTGGACAGATAGCCTGTGAAGACGCTCAGCTCGCCAGGGATAATCCACCAGGGCTGGCCCAGCTCCTGACCCGGAGGGGGCAGGAAGGGCCGGAAGTGGCGGGCAGCAAACACTGCAGTTGGTGAGGCTGCAGTTGTCCAGTTGCGGAGGCCTGACAGAGCGAGGTGAGAGACCTGGGGACAGGGAAACCAATGCTCTAGCATGCCCTGTTCATGTCCCTCAAGCCCAGCCAGACCATAGGCTGGGACAGCAGAGGGAGCATGGGGAAGGCCGCGCCTCAGAAATGGGAGCACTGTCCTGCCAGAGAGAGGCTCTTCTCACACACACCCCTCTCAGGCTTCAGCAGCTTTCCAGCTCCAGCCTAGGCCACGGCAGCTTACTCGGCGGAGCAGGCAGCTGAGTAGTTGGAGGTGCCTGGTCTAGACCCGGGTGGTTGAGCTCTGGCTTCACAAAGGTCCGATCCCCACCCTCTGCATAAGCCTCCAACCAGTCCCAGGTGCCAGGCCCTGCCCCAGCTGCCCGACCCCCTCAGGCTGTCTGTCCCAGGTGCCAGGCCCTGCCCCAGCTGCCCGACCCCCTCAGGCTGTCTGTTTTGCTTTCCCCACAACCGCAGCTGACAAGAGTTTGGGTTATGCTGTTGAGTCTGATGGAGAAAAATCAGAAATCCAGAAAACTCCAGAGACAAGGGCAGATCCCTGGGGAAGTGAAAGGTAGCCCCCTCCCCAGAGAACACCCTGCCTCGAGTCACCTGCCCCAGCATGTGCCCCTCCCTCCCTCTCTACCTCCACAGTGGCAAGTGCCAGGCTTGGAGAGAGGGAGGAGGGGGGGTAGGCTGGCCCACAGGAGCTTCCATCCTGAAGAATCTACAGGCAGGTTCTCAAAGGAGGGCCAGGCTGAGCTGCCTGCCTGCTGGTCCTGCTCATAGGCATTGCCAGAGGAGGGTTCTGTGCCGTGGCGGGGTTGGGGCACTGCCCACCTCCCTGAGAACAGAGACCCCCATGGTTCCTATCTAACTACGTTTCCCACCACTCTGGGAACTATCTGCAGCGGGGCTATCACTACTAACCCCTCCTCCACCTCCGATCTCCCAAGGAAAGCTGAAACTATGTTTCCACTTACAACCCCCCCCATGTCCCCCGCCACCTCAATGTGTCCCAAGAGGTGATAGTCTCTTCTTACAGTCTTCTTACAGCACACCAAGCACTAATCCTCAGCCAGGAGTTTGTGCCACCAACTCTGCTTCCTGCTTCCCATCAGCAGCCACACTAAGCTCTTTCCCCTTCTGCATCCTCCAGGCTGTTCCCTCCACCCATCCCCTTGCCTCTACCCACTCCAGGAACTGGTCTGCTTGCCAGCCCCTACCCCCAGCCTGGAGAGCACAAAACTGATTTCACAACCAACCCCGAGGCCTTTTGCTGCCGCAGAGCGAAGGCTAAAAAGTCAGAGGCGCTCAGCAATCTAGCCTCTTCTCTGGCTGTCCCGTTAGCCGGCATGCCACTCACAGGTCCTGGGCCAGCCACACCTGCCTTCTGGCCTGCTGCCATCTTTTGCCACAGGCTCTTGCTCTTGCTCATGCAGAAGTGGCTGAGCAGGCACCGGCTGGGCACAGAGTGACGGCTGCTCATGGCGGAGGAACAGCAGGCAAGGAGGTGGGACGCAAACCCAGTGATTACAAAGGAAACCCATGGGATGGGATCTGGTAGGAGAGAGGTGCCAGCCAGCGGGCGTGTGTGTGTGTGTGTGTGTGTGTGTGTGTGTGTGTGTGTGTGTGTGTGTGTGTGTGTGTGTGTGTGTGTGATCCTCAGGGCCTGTTGGTGGAAAGAAGCTGGTAGCACAAGCACATGTCTGTGTCCTCCCTCCCCTCCCTCAGGGGCTTGTCCTCCCCACAGTCCCGGCCAGATGCTGAACTACGCACCTGCCATGTGCCAGGAGTTGACTAGGGGTCCAGGAAACAGACAGAAAGTGCCCACCAGCAGAGCTCCACGACTCTAGCTCTTTTCTTCAGCCCACCCATTTGTCCCAGGAGACAGCCTCTGTCAGATGTCACCCATGCCAGGAAGCTCTCTCAGACTTCCCTGTGTAGAGAGGGGCTCCTGCGGCTCCTCCTGTTCTCCCGCCAGGCTGAACCTGAAAACAAGCTCAGCTTCCTGGATGCAGTGGGGACACTGGAGGGGTGAGGAGAGGGCACAGGCCTGTCCTCAGGAGCGAGTACACACAGGCAGTTTCGACATTAGCGGTCCCTCCCGTGCCCCGACTCACCCCTAGGAAGCCATCTTTGCTCTTGGTCATGGTCTCTGTGAGCAGAGGCTGGAATCGGGCTTCTATGGTAAGAGTCTCCTCACTGGGGTCATGGTGCAGCTCCTCCTCCTCGTAGCTGGCCACAGGAACTGACCCTACGGTACAGACAGAGTTGGCTGGAGAGGCCCTGCCCAGGGCTCCTCCAGGCCTCACTTCTCTCCGGATGCCTGTGATGAGGGAGCTAGGCTTGGGACAGGGCTAGTGACTAACAGTCACCAAAGTGACACACTGTGCACAGGATTCTTCTTCCAGCACAGCCCAGGAGCAGGTGATGTTACAGCAATTCCATTTCACAAATAAGCAGAGATGAAGACACTTGCCCACCGTCACACACCAGGCAAGGAAGGAGTCAGGACTCAAAGCCAGGCCTGTGTCACTCTGAATTCATGTAGGTTAGGACACTCTTCTGGATCTTAGGGGACTGTGAGGGACTCATTCAAGGGAACCTTGGCAAAAATAAAAGCAAGACACATCAGGCCGTATGATGATGTCACTGGATGAGCACCAGCGGGCAGAGACTTGACCTGTTTCTCCCTGCTCTTCTGACTGGCTTGGCCTCCCCGCTGGAGGAGTTTAGGGCTGGCTAACTTTTCTCAGATCTCCCATAGGAGATGCAAAACTCGTCATATTTCCCATGTGGATGGAACCACGATGCAGGGTTAAGGGGAGGAAAGCTGACGTCATCTATGACAGAATGGTCATCTGTGACAGAATGGTCATCTGTGACAGAATGAATGGTCATCTGTGACAGAATGGTCATCTGTGACAGAATGGTCATCTATGACAGAATGGTCATCTGTGACAGAATGGTCATCTGTGACAGAATGGTCATCTGTGACAGAATGGTCATCTATGACAGAAGGGTCATCTGTGACAGAATGGTCATCTGTGACAGAATGGTCATCTGTGACAGAATGAATGGTCATCTGTGACAGAATGGTCATCTGTGACAGAATGGTCATCTATGACAGAATGGTCATCTGTGACAGAATGGTCATCTATGACAGAATGGTCATCTATGACAGAATGAAGCTGACTTCTATGACAGAATGGTCATCTATGACAGAATGAAGCATGCTGGCTCTATCCTACAGGCTCCCAAGGGCGGATGAAGGTACAGAGACAATGCCTGGCCCTTGGTGGCACTGGTGACTAGCCAAACTGAATGGGGCACATCATAGGCACCTACCAACCATAGTCATCAGAAGCACCCAGGCCCCTCTTCACACCGCAGCTGCTCAGAGCCCATCTCTTCCTAGTGAGTGGACTCTCGCAGGGTTTTAGACTCAGGAAGCTGCCCTTTTAACTACCTGTCCACAGTAGCCCTCGGCTGGCAAGACTGGGTGAGTAAAAGCGCTTGCCACATAAGCCTGACCTGACTTCTCCCTGAACATGTGCTACACAGACAAAACTAGAGAGGCTCGGCATCAGCAGGGCAGCGGCGGTGCGCGCCTTTAATTCCAGCACCCGGGAGGCAGAGGCAGGCGGATCAAACAAAAATAACTGGATATGGTAGTATAGACCTATAATCCAAGCTACTTGAAAAGCTGAGGCAGAGCTGGTGGCGCACGCCTTTAATCCCAGCACTCAGGAGGCAGACACAATTGGATCTCTGTGAGTTCGAGGCCAGCCTGGTCTACAGAGTGAGTTCCAGGACAGCCTCCAAAACAATACTGAGAAACCCTGTCTCGAAAAACAGAGCTCCAGAGGCAGAGGCAGGGGGATCTGGTCTACAGACAGAGTGAGTTCTAGAACAGCCAGAGCTACAATATAAGACCATGCCATCACACACACACACAAACACACACACACACAAAAGCTGAGGCAGGAGATTCCAAAGTTCAAGATTAGCCTGGACTCTAGAGTGAGCTGAAGGCCAGCTTGGGCAACTTAGTGAGACTCTATTTCAAAATTAAAAGATGGGACTGTGCTAGGCAGTGGTGGCCCACGCCTTTAATCCCACTTGGGAGGTAGAGGCAGGTAGATCTCTGTGAGTTTGAGACCAGCATGGTCTACAGAGCTAGTTCCAGGAAAGCTAGGGCTGTTATACAGAGAAACTCTGTCTCAAAACCCCCCTCAAAAAAGGGGGGGGCTGGTGATGGCTTGGTGGTTAGGAACATTGGTTACTATTCCAGAAGTCCTACGTTCAATCCCAGCACCCACATGGTGGTTCAAAATTGTTAACTTCAGCTCCTGGAGATCTGATGCCCTCTTCTGGCCTCAGGAGGTACTTCACTCACATGGTGCACACACATGCAGACATACAAGCAAACACATAAATCTTTTAAAATTTGCATTTTCACCTGACTGTTCTCCTCTAGCGGTGACCACAGCATCCTGGGCCAGCAAGTGACCATCCTTCCATCCCCATCCCTGAAAACTGGCAAGCCCATGATGGTACTGTGGTGTACCTGCCCCTGAAAGTAATTGGTTTCTTCCTCCCTGCCTCTCACCCCTTGACAGGCTTCCACAACCAGTTGGGTGGCTAAGGTAAGTGAGAATAGAAGAGGGGACTGTAACACTGAGGCGGGGGCTTGCAAGCCAGAGGCCTGCCTGGGCAATATGGCTTAGCTTGGTGGTAAAACATTTGAGTAGCATAAGCAAAGCTGTGTGTTTAATCTCTACTATCTCCAAAAGCTGGGGTGGGGGTTGACAGTGGCAGCTGGGGAGTTGGCTCACTTGATAAAGCACTTGCCTCACAAGCATGAGTTCAGATCTCCAGAACCCACGTACAAAGTCAGGCTGAGTTGTGTATGCCTGCAATCCCAATACTATGAGAGGGGAGGTGAGGACGACAGGATCCCGGCCGCTTGCTGGCCACCAGCCTGGCATAAGGAGACGAGTTCTGGGCCAGCGAGAGACCCTGCCTCAAGCAAATGGTGGAAGGCGCCGGAGCACTGACACTTAAGGCTGTCCTCTGACTATCACACACGCACACACACACTCACAAGTGCATCCACACAGCTGGGGGGGGGTGACAGTGCTCTTCATTTTAAGAAAATTAACAATGGCTGCACTGACTGACAGGTGCGAGGAGTCACACAGCACTGAGAGCAGTGGAAACAGCTGTGGCTCCTGTTTGGCGCCTACCCGCATGCTGGCCATCCCACGCCGCCTGTCTGAATCCCCAACCCTGTGAGCCAGGGCAGGACCCCCACAATCAGATGGCCAGGTCTAACCTGGTTCTCTGCCTCCTAACCTGGCAGGTGGGTGTCTCCATCTCCTGAAGTCTAGAAGGACAGTGTCCACCACCCCAGGCCTGTGCCGGGTGTAAAGGCCGAATCCACAGAGTGTGCTTCATGTCGGTGATGCGCAGGGGAGGCGATGGAGGAATGCCAGGGTTACCATTCCCAGCCATGATTGAAATGGGTTTGGGTGCCAAAGCAGCTCATGCACCCACCAGGCAGAAAGTAGTGGGGGGGGGGGCGACCTGGCATGTGAGCACAGCGAGTGCCCAGCTTCTCCCTCCCGTACCTGTCAGTTTCTCTGCAATGGGTTTGAATTCCTCCGGGCTGATGTACATATCCTGGTCAGTGTCCAGCGAGGAAAAGAGAAAGAGACCATCTGTCCCCAGAACCTTCAACGCCGATTCCTGTTTGGGAGGAAGGGGTTGAGCTGACAGGCCGCTGTCAGGCCCCAACCTCCCCAGACCAGTCCCAGAGCAGGCAGCTGCTTCCTGATAAGTGTAGTGTCATCTTCCAGAGTCCCCTCCACACTTGCCAGCCCATTTGTTCAAATAACCAGCTCAACAGTCCCAGAGTCCCCTTTCCAGCTGCTGCTGGCCCTCGCCTCACACATCCACGCCTCCATCCATTGTCCGCTGTGGGCGCCCTCCCTCCCCTTCCAAAGGCCCAGTCCTACTTTACCCTGTCCTGGCCACTGTCCCCTCCAGCCTCCCCAGTCCCCCTGCCCTGGTGGGGGCTTCACTCTGCGCCTCTGTCTGCAGCCACTGTCTCTGGCAGCCCCGTGCACTGTCCCTCTCTGGTCCCTGCCGACCTGCCGCGCGGCCGCCTTAGCATCGGCGAGGAGCGCGCAGGCCCGGGCAGCGGCGGCGGCGGCCACGGCGGCCACCAGGGCTCCGAGTAGCGCCAGGGCGCGGGCGCGGCTGCGGCTGCGGGGAGGCGCGGGCTGCGCGGCGGGGTCCGGGCTGTGCGAGCTGCGCGCTGCGGGGCGGGCCCGGCCCATGGCTGCGGCTCCCGGGCTCCCGGGCTCCCGGCAGCTTCTGGGACCGGGGAACGCGCGGCGCGGGCGGCGCGGGGCGGAGCCGGGAGGGAGGGCGTCAGCGGGGCCCCACTCTTCGGGCCGGGCTCTGCCCAGGGGAAGAAGGAGGGCCCGAGGGCGCGGGGCCTTTTCAGCCGGCCCACAGGCCCTGTCCTTGCCTCACCTCTCCGTAGAAAATAAAATAAAGTAAAATAATTGTTTTAGATATCCTTTTACTCTGTAGCTCAGGCTAGCCTGGAACTTGCTGTGTTGTCCAAGCTGGCCTTAAACTTGCAATGATCCCCTGTCTTTGTCTCCCGAGCCTTCAGCTCGCACCCCTGCACACACAACAGGTCTGCCTTTCTCTTCCTTCCTCCCTTCTATCCAGATGTCAGTTATTTTTGCAAAACGTGTATGATGTTTCTGAAGAATGCTGTTGAAATCAGGATCTAAAATACCCGTGGGGGTTCAAAAGGACTCGTGGGGACTGGGGGGATGGCACAGTGGGCTGATGCATAAATTTAAGGATGCGAGTTTGGATCCCCAGCACCCATCTAAAAAAGCCAGATGTGCCTGCACACGTCTATCTATCTGTAACATAGGAAGGCGGGGACAGCAAGATCCCTGGGACCTGCTGGCCAGTCAGCCTAGTCAAACAGATGGGCTCCAGATTCCGCAAGAGACCCTGACTCAAAAAATATGGTGGAGTGATAGAGGCCACAGGACACCAGTCTCTGACCTGTGGGAACACCCCCTCCTCACGGAACCAGGTATCCACAAATGCACTTTATAATACCAGAACAGAACATGGCCAAACAGGTTTTAGCCACACATTAAAACAAGGCTGATGCTCTGCAGTCACCATGATGACCAGACCGGGCCTGTTCTCTGTAGCGTCTTCAGGCATCTAGAGCATAAGCAACCGATGATGAAGCCGCCCCCGCCCCTCAGCAGCTGAGGGGCCATTCTTCAGGTTGCTAGACACACAGGTGATGAGCCCTGAGGCCTTCACAGCCCAGGGCCAAGGTTTTCTCCTGTGTGTGGAGTGTCCCAGGGGCCCTTCTGAGGTTTGTGGAGAGAGGGAGTCAACGGCTGCTGGGACTGTAATACATGTGGGTCCCAGCTGCATCTGGCTGACACAGGAAATACTGTTTTTCTGGAGAACACTGAGCATGTTCGGGGAAGGGCATTAGGAAAGGAAGGGATGCAATTGGAGGAAATGTTTCTCTCTCTATTGGTCCAGTCCCAGGAGTCCTACTTCCTGTCAGGCTTCCTTTAATTATATCCAGCTTCAAGGCCCCAAGGTGACTGCTCTTTCCCAGAGAGCATCAGGCATGAATTTCTAGACAAAACTCAGAGTACAGGAAAGAGGTGTAGCCTTTGGAGACCACCACCAATTCCCATGCACCATCGATGCCACCCCCCCCATCCCCAACGCCCTGGGGAGTCCAGGCCATTGTGTGCTAGATGGGGATTGGCTGGATCATAATATTGTCTTATTTTGTTCCCAGGCCACCTAACCCGGTCAAGTTTACCTGGGTCCTCAGTGGGCTACACAGCCACGAGGACCTGGGTTCAGATCCCCAGCACCCTTGTAAAAAGTCAGTGTAGGGCCCACCTGTAATCCCAGTGCTGGATACCCCACAGGCGCTGGGGTGATGGTGTGGTGTCCCCAGAGCTCACAAGCCAGCAACCCTAGACAAAGCGAGCTCCCAGGTTCAGTGAAGGAGAGGCCCTGTCTCTAAACGTGAGGCAGTGAACAAAGCTTGAAGCTGCTGGTACTCTGTAGCACTTTGGTCACTAGTTGTCACAGGGCCACCAAGGCAGAGCCTTATCTTGCCAGCACCCATTCATGCCTTCCAGAGGTGGATATGTGACTTCCAGGAACATTCCAGGGCTGTGGGCCTGGCCTAGCCTGGCTCTGTGCTCTGACTACACATCCTCAGAGGACTCCCAGGGCCTGACATCTGGTGTTGATGTCCCAAGTTCCTAACTGTGCCACTTCCAACTCATTATAGCTAATGTTTGGGGACACCCTACATAAAACAGATGCCATTAGAAAACCAGATTCTGTTCTATGCGGAAGCACAGCTAACAGAGTGCAGGTCAGGTCAGGAGGGAAGATGGATGAGCCAGGTTCCCAGAAAACAAAGGAGGGGAGACAGATTTGCCAGGCCCCTTTTATTTATCACACTGGGTTTTTGTTGAAAGCATAGATCTCCTGATCTCCTGCTAGTTTCTGCTGCCCAGGCAGGAGCGGGGGTTGGGGAGGGGCCAGGTTTCTTACAGGGGCCTGACCTGCCTTTCCATGACATCTCCATGTTTTTATCTGTGCATCTCTCTCTCTCTCTGTGACACACACACAGTCACACGCACACACACACATACACAGTCACACACACATACACACAGAGTCACACACATACACACAGTCTCTCTGTCTCTCTGTCTCTGTGTCTGTCTGTCTGTCTGTCTGTCTCTCTCTCTCTCTCACGCGCGCGCGCACACACACACACACCACATCTTCCAGCAGTTTCTTCTGTCTCTCTCTCTCTCTCTCTCACGCGCACACACACACACACACCACATCTTCCAGCAGTTTCTTCTGTCTCTCTCTCTCTCTCTCTCTCTCTCACGCGCACACACACACACACACCACATCTTCCAGCAGTTTCTTGTTCCCCGACTCCTTGGTGTGCTAGCACAGAAGAGACCATAGCACCTGCAGGGGGCGCTTCTGCTCCTTCTGGCTTTTCCTGAGTCCAGTGGCAGCAAATCGCAAATCAGGGAGGGCCATTTGTTTCTTTTCTGTCATCTAGGACCCAGGAAATGCAAGTTTTTACTCAAACTCCACTTCTGTTGTCTTGGCAGCCAGTGATAAGACCGTTGTACAGGAGAACACCGCCACTTGGGGAAACTGGGAGTTCTGGGGCCAAGGTAAGAATACTTTAAACAAACCTGGAGCAGGTGGGCCTCTGAACTAAATAAGGACCTACTGTGTGCCAGGAACTACCCCATATCCCAGAACACAGTGGAAGGAAGATCAGGTATCTCTCGGTCAGAGGAGAATGTTCTGCAGGAGCAGAGAATTGCTGACATATCAAGGTGTGTTAGATAATGGTTGCCCTGATGGAGCAAGTGAAATAAGGCAAGGACACAATGACACAGGCAGGGTGGACAACCTCAACCGAGAGTGACATTTACATGACAGCCTGAATTGGAGGAAGCAGTCAGCCATGGGAAGAACACACAAGCAAATGCGAAGGTCCCAAGGTGGAGATCGTGTGGTGTGTTCAAGAACGGGAGCTAGAGAGATGGCTCAGCAGTTAAGAGCTGTTGCTCTTGCAAAGGACCTGGGTTCAAATCCCAGCACCCACATGGCAGCTCACAACCGTCTGTAGCTCCAGTTCCGGGGGATCTGATGACACCTTCTGGCCTCCGTGGGCACTGCATGCCCATAGTGCACAGATATACATGCAGGTAAAACACACACAAAAGGGGCTGGAGAGATGGCTCAGAGATTAAGAGCACTGACTGCTCTTCCAGGGGTCCTGAGTTCAATTCTCAGCAACCACATGGTGGCTCACAACCATCTACGATTCAATCTGGTGTCCTCTTCTGGCGTGTAGACAGAACACTGTATATGTAATAAATAAATTAATCTTTAAAACACACACACACACAAACCCTAAATACATCTCAAAATGAGTAAATAAACAAAAGATCAAAGAAGGCAGAGTGACCGATGGTGAGAGCAGCAGCAGACGGACTTGGTGACAGCAAGGCTCTGGCAGACTATGGCCATAAGTCTCATTCCAGGCATTACAAACAAAAAACCAAGCCGGGTTGTGGTGGTGACTGTCATTAATCCCAGCACTTGGGAAGCAGAAGCAGGCAGATCTCTATGAGTTCGAGGCCAGCCTGGTCTACAGATGGAGTTCCAGGACAGCCAGGACCACACAGAGAAACCCTGTCTTGAAAAACCAAACGAAATGAAACCAAACAAAGGCAACCAACCAACTACGCAACCAACAAAAAAAGCAAAAACGTAAGGCAACAGCCCTTCTACTAGACAAAAAAGCAGAAACAACCCAGATTTTCACCGTTGAATGCAGATTACAGCATAGTTAAGCCTTAGGGAAAGTAGCCAGATGCAGAGGCCACAGATGTTGGGAGTCCATTAACAGAAAATGTCCACAGTGGGCAGATCCACGGAGACAGAGTGGATAAGGGGTTGCTATGTCCTGGGGTGGAAGGACGCTTGTCACTCCTAATGGGGACAGTTTTTTCTTTCCTTTTTGTATTCTAAAATTAGATGTGGGTGATGACAGAATGACTATAAATATACTAAAATATTAATCATACACAGCAAATGGATAGATTTTGTGGCATGTAAATGATATCAGCAAAGCTATTTTTTTGAGAGATCTCATGTATCTTCAATGACCTGGATCTCCCTATGTAGCAGAGGGTGACCTTGAACTTCTGATCCTCCTGCTTCCATTTCCTGAGTGATGGAGTTACAAGCCTAGAAGGGAAAGGGGACACAAAAGCTGGAGCTGTCCCTTGAGAGTAACATCACCTGGGCTGGGCCAGTGCAGGTGCAGGGACAGAGGCTGAAAGGTGCAAAGAATATTCTAGAGCCAGAGCTGGCACTTGCTGGTGGCTTGGAGGGAGAGAGGAAGCAGTATGGCTCTGAGTTCTTACTCTGGTGTCTAGCTCACTGGCTGCTGGCGCCATCTTGAGGGAGAAACCAGGTTGGTTCAGTCTGCTGGGCTGGTCCACACTGCTAGTGTTAGGGGTCACCTTTTTGTGTGACTGTGGGTCACAGGGAAGTAGGTCATGGGCTACCAATTCCAGAGCTGCCTGTAAATGGCGTCTAAAGCCCCAAGATCCAATGAGGTCATCGGAGGAGGCTGAGAAGTGTCTTTGGCTTGTGTGGCTGCGGAACGCTGTGCCTGGGAGTGGCGAGTGGCCTCGGCTGGATTCACAGGCACAGG